TCCGAGAGTGAACGACAAGAGTCAACTCGGCAGCAGTGAACCTGCGCCGTGAACAAAGCCTGCTGCATGCAGAAGCATCTGAAGCTTCCTTCCTAGGTGTGGCTTCCGTTCCCACACGGCTTATGATGCCAGAACCAGGTCCAATAAACCAAACCGAACCGTGGAGAGGGTGCCGCTGGCCGCGTTTCCGAGCCGTTCGCATGAACGGCTCCGAAACGGCAGGTGAGCAGATCCTCGGCTTGCTAGATGAGGTTTACGGCAACGCTGAAAGCAGAGACTCCAATATCCTTTAATTAAGGAATATACCTTAAATTATAGTAGGATCCCTAATATGAGTTAATGTATATTCCCTAATTAAGGGATATTGGGGCCTCTGGGAAACCTGGACCGTCGTGATTCACTGAGAATAGCCACATTGGCATTGGCTCTCCATCATGGCATGCCGATTGAGCCAGCCCTGACTTTCACGACTTCCGCTCGCCGATCCAAGGGAGTGCAACAAAAAGCTGTTCCGCTCGAGCTTGATCCGGGGACGTTGAAGTTATTATTATTATTATTATTATTATTATTATTATTATTATTATTATTATTATTATTATTATTATTATTATTATTATTATTATATTATTGTTATTGTTATTATTATTATTATTATTACTATTATTATTTTTTTACAGAGTTATAAGTATCATAGTCCCAATTAATTCCCTATTAGGGTACTTATAACTCTACTCAATACCTACTTACTAAGTTTCCCCGACCCTCCAAGCTGGGCCCCTGTTGAAGAAGCAAGTGGATCCGAGACCCAGTCGGCGACGTTGTCGTTCCTGCTGCATGGTTCTAGGCCTGCAATTCAAACCCTAAACCGCTAAATTGCTCTGAAGAACCTTTATTACACAAGTCTCGCAACCAGGAGCTTGAAACGGACGCGGCCGCCTCGAAGCCTTTCCTGAAGGCAACAGGTTTGATGAGCTCTAGTCTAGTCGGTATGGCAGGGATTACCAGTATCATTTGTATCATTTGGTATTGTTACTGTTGATATTGCTGTTAGTACTGCTTATCGGTTCTTGCATGATACAGCTTGGTCATTCAACATGAGCATGACCCATGTCATGATTTACCTGCGAGTCGTTGCAGATGGAGTCGGCGTGCAGGAACAGAATGGCCTGCAGTCACAACTTGTATGCAGACTTGTATTTGAGCAAGGGGCGGCATTTCGCTTAAGCCAAGAATACTGCTGGATGAAGGCCGCCGATATACAAGCATCGCTTCGCCTGCTCACGTTTTATGCCCCAGTACTGTTCTGTGATAGTTCTCGTGTCCTTCTTCTTTCCCGTCGTCGACAGATGCGTAAGCACAATTGTCACCATCATCAACAACAACATTAAAACCTGCATCATGACCAGTACTATAATCTTCGCCATGTCCAACCTTCGAATAGTCGTCACCACACTATCGCAGTCAGCGCCACCGACACAGTCATGACCATCTTGTTCAATGAAGTCTTCGTCGGCACGAGCATCATGTACCCGATGTTCGGTAAGGAGAACTTCGTGGCACAGCTGCGCTTGGGCATCGGAGCATCGCGTGTTGAATGTTCCTGCGTTGGGGATATCGACCCTGCTTTGGCACAGCATGGTGCACGATTCCACGGAACATGCTCCTGCTAGGTTCCTGGGTAGTACCCTTTTGCCCTTTTTATTTTAGGGTCCCCTAATTAAAACTGAATATTGGGAAAAAGGGTAGCCTTATCATAAAGGTGCTACTCAGGAACCTAGCCTGCCGTGAGGCCGGGCAGTGCTGCTTCCTGACGGAGGACACGACCGTGAATGCCAAGCCCTCGGAGCCCTCATGCCTAGTAGTTTAGGGTTTTTTGGGTAGTATAGTCCCTACATAACCAGAAAGGTTAACCTTCAGTTCCCCATGGGGTTTAGGGTTTTTTGGGTAGTATAGTCCCTACATAACCAGAAAGGTTAACCTTCAGTTCCCCATGGGGTTTAGGGTTTTCTGGGTAGTATAGTCCCTACATAACCAGAAAGGTTAACCTTCAGTTCCCCATGGGGTTTAGGGTTTTTTGGGTAGTATAGTCCCTACATAACCAAAAAGGTTAACCGTCAGTTCCCCATGATACCCGACAAGTAGGTATGTGGCCTCTTCAGCATAGTCATTTGGCAGCCTGTAGATCAAATGTCTCCTCCTTGGAGGGTCGGGGGACTTAGTAACTGGTTATTTTAGGGACTTACAAGTACCATAACCCCAATTAGGGTCCCTTTTTGGGGTACTTATAAGTCTACTTACTACCTACTTACTAAGTCCCCTAAAGACCCTCCAAGTAGGGGATCATGGGACTTAGTAGAGTTTAGGGCTCCTGTTAAGGGTACTACAGGGGGGGTCCCCATTAAGGGTCCCTCCTTTCCCTTTTGATCAAATGTCTCCTCGGGATCCCACCCTGGATCTGCCGACCCGTGAATGGATGCAGAGCAGCTTAGCTTCCCCTGCTGTAGGGAGCTGATGAAGAAACCCTGGGCCTAGAACCCCCAAATGTAGTAGGATTCATATACGGAACCCTAATAAAGGCCCAAGGTTTCTTAATCAGGTTCCTGCATTACCAGCCTCCTTGTTGCCCATGCGCGCTGAGGTTCTCCCAACGGTCAATGGAAAATTGCTCATGGCCTTGCGCCCAGCTCTATGTCAGGCAACAGAGCTGAAGTCCTACCAGCCCAGAAGAGTTTCACAGAGTCGATGAATTGAACGATATGGGGTTACTAACTTGCATTTCAACTCCCGAAGCCCCTAAACCCTAAGCCCCTCATCCCCTAAGCCCCTACGCCTCGAAACCCTGAGCCCCTAAACCTTGAGCCCTTAATCCCCTTATCCCTCTAAACCTGAAGCCCCTTAGCCCCAAGCCCCTAATCCGCTAAGCCCCTGATCATCTAAGCCCCTAAACCCTGAACAGGCTCAACCCCCTTAAAGCGATAGGAGCGGGGTCAACCTTTTTGAGGCGATGGGAGACGGCGGCTTCCAGTACCTCCTCGCGGGGGCTCGCGCCAGCGTCGGCGCGAAGGTGCTGTGGGGTTTTGGCATGCAGGCTTTGGGGTTGCGGGTTTAGGGTTGAGGCGGTCTAGGGTTTAGGGTTGAAGGTTGTCTTTGGGGCTTTTGGGTCCTTGAATAAACTGGATGCAAAAACTACATGTAACAAGGAGAAACACAAAACTCTGCGGTTTTGGAGTGATTCGGAGGAGCTTTCAGGCTAAGCTCTAATATAGGGATCTGTTTTCAAGTTATAGAAGGGGTGTTACGGGTTCTACACGGTGCTGGGTCTCTAGGGTTCTATAAGGGTGTTATAGGGGCAATTGAGCACGGAAAACCGTCTTTAGGGCATTTATGTCAGACGCATGCAGGATAGAGCCTTAACGATTCAATCGTGTTTTGGTGGTCATATTGTATTTACGACTTACTAGGAACACTCCCCTAAGCCCCTATACCCTAAACACCTGAAAATCTGAGGGATTGTTGCTTAGTAGGTCTTCCCCACTGGGCCCTTTTTCCTTTTTGGTGCTCTCAGCTTCCTTATAAAGGTACACAGTGCCAAAGAGGGAGCCCTTGTTGATTCCTAGGGTACTATATTGAGGCTCCTAGTTCGGGAGCCTTTTGTAGGACCCAGAGAACCAAGAAGGGCACCCTTTTTATTCCTAGATTACTCTTAGGTCTAGCTTTTTGAGTTCGGAGACATGGCCTGACCTATCCGTACTGCTATACGGTTTAGGGCTCACATCGAACACTAAAGGAGAAACGACTAAATCAAAGACCTCAACCTCTCCAAGCCCTCGAGGCCCCACAAGAGAAACAATAACGATTTAGGGTTTGGGGCCTTAACCGACTTGATTCCAAACCCCCGTGCATCTACGTCAGGGCCACTAGGGTTGCGTCAGGAATACCATGAGGGCTCCTATGAAGTTCGCAATGAGGCGTTGGGGATATTACGTGTTTTCCTGGATTGGGCTGAAGAGGACCTTATTTGCCATGTGGGAGTTTCCGAAAATACCTTATGATAAGGACCCCACATAAGGCAACCCCTCTTTTGGGAAACTCTAAACCCTTATAGTTATAGAGCCCTTTAAAGGAAACCTTAGACTACCCTTATATTAACCCTTATATTAGCCCTTTAAAGGTTTCTTAAGGACCCCAAATGCGGTAGCCCCTCTTTTGGGAAACTCCCAACCCTAAACCCTTTATAGAACCCTTATAGATCCCTTTAAGGAACCCCATAACTTTGGGAAACCCTAAACCCTAAACCCTTATACAGCCCTTGAAAGGAACCCTCATAGTACCCCAAACCCCTATTTCGGTAAACTCCCATGTGAACCCTCAACCCCTAAGATGAAGACCGCCCCACCCCGGCCGAAGCCCAACTCTCTACTTGGAGGATCATGGGACTTATTCTCCCTGGTTACTGCAAAGCCAAGGGAATTCCTAAACGCCCATAATGTAGGGGCCTTAATAATTGCAATAGGCTTTTGGGCTCCTGTACAGTATAACTATATTCAGGAACCCTAAGGAAAATACATACATGTAACGGTTTAGGCTTCTATATTCGTGAGCCGTTATAAAGTCCTCAACCCTAAACCCTAAACCGTCTCAGGCCACCTCTTGAAACATCCCTCAAAGGATTCCTCATAGAACCTACCAAACTCTACGAGGACCTGACCCGTGCCTGGACTAGATGCCCGGGTCGGCCCGTTCAAGCCTTTGAAAAAATATTATCCTTTTGGTGGGTGTACTTTTGAGCTATTTCCGGTCTATATGCTAAAAGGCGCCTTTTGTTGCACAGAGGTTGAAGAGGGGCGAGTTTGCCGGCCCCGACTAAGCACCTTGTGTCGCAACCCCTAGAAGCCCGAAGCCTAAACACGAAGACAACGAAAGTCGCCAGCCCTGAAGAGTACTAAACATCTCGGGTCTATGCCAGCTTGGCCCAGGCTGGACGATATCTTTTCGAAGTGATGATTGCAGAGGCCTGGAATCGAACGGTTCGGAGCAGGAATGCCGTCTTCAAAACTTCTGCTAGCCCTAAACCCTAAACCTTGGATACTGCCCCCACCCAGTAACAGTTGGATAATATTCATAATATAGATATATTAGGCCCTTAATAGTAGCCCTATTATAGACTGTTAGTGTATGGGGGGCAGTATCCAACCTAACCCTAAACCGCAGATCCCGAACACTGAAAGCACCTCGCTTGGACTTACTCAACGGGAGCTCGCCTCAGCCCACCTTATCGAACCTTCCACCGCCTTCCTCAATCCTCTTTCAAGTTCGGTGTACCGTATCTGTATATATGATGCAGGGCTGCCACCCCCCCCCCCCCCCCCCCACCCCATGGTATCCTCCCCCCTTCCCCCCCGCCCCCCCCCCCCTGTGGTGTGGGGCCTGTGGTGCTACTTTTGTGCCGCGACGTTCTTATGTGTTACTCCTTGTCTTCCCTCTTGCTGTGGCACCGGTGATACTGCTCATGATGTTGTGCTGCTCTAGACCGGGACATGAGTCGACAATCAGACCATGCTCAACATCATCATTGTCGTCGTCATCTTCATGCTTAATACCTTGAAAAGAATATCTGCCACCATCACCATCGCCATACAACCCTCATAATTCAGCCTTGCAAGTCATGTCAGATGCTGGAAACTACTGCGCCGATTGCCGCTTTCCGCACACCCAGGGCATAGTGCGACACTCCCGATCCGCGCACAAGGTCAAGGGGCGGGCAAGGTGCGGGCGGGCAGGGGCGGGTGGGCGTGGGCAGCAGGGGGGTGGGGGGGATACCATCAAAAAGGGGTGGCGGCCCAGCATATATGGTCACGCTCCGCAGCCCCCCCCTAAAGGTCAATGGTTTGGATATAGGGTGGGGCCGCCCCCCTCCCCTGTGGTGTGGGGTGTGGGGTTCCTCTTCCCCCTGTGGGTGGTTGTGGGGTTTTGGGGTTTAGCTTAAGCTTTTGAGTTTTGGGTTTACGGCTACAAGGTATAAGGCTTCGAGTCGACAAGGGCTTAGGGAGGATTTGCGGTGTATGCTCTGCTTTAGGCTTAGAGCCTGCAGTTAGGTGGGGTTTAGGGTTGGGTGTAGCGTTTTAAGTACAAGTTAAGGTTGCTCAAAATCGGGGCACGGGCTGCGTCATAGGGTTTACGGCTTGCTTGCGAAGGGCTTGCGCGTGAGCCCTGGCCGCCAGCACCGCCCCACCATCCAGCGGCAGCTCCAACGGCCCCAACCCCTTTCCGCACACGCCAGGGCCCCCCCCCCCCCCACCCCTGTCAGACCATACCATTGGGGGGGGGGGGGGGGGGCTGGGAACGCCAGACGCCTGACCATATATATATATATATATATATATATGTGTGTGTGTGTGTGTGTGTGTGTATAGTTTTGAGATACCCTCTAGCCAAATATAAATGTAAGATAATATTATAAAAATACAATATTCTATCACAGTCTGTTATACCAGCGTTGCAGCAAGACGAGAGTCGTCGATGGGCCTGGGTAGTACAGCAAGCAAGTCTGCTCATCTCAGCACCCCAAACCCTTAACCCTGAACGGTGCGGTTTGTTCTTCATACTCCCAACCTCTCATCATCAAACTTTCGTGGTGGCCACCACCGTATACCATATACCTTGAATCCTGAAGCCTTAACTGCACGAGTCTTTTGGTCATTTTTCGCGATCACTGTCACTGTCATGATCACAATCATCACAACCATCATCGTCATCATCATCAGCAGCACCACCACCACAACCATCGCCGCCACCGCCACAGCCACCGCCGCCAGCAGCATCATCGACACGATCTTCTTGGTCTTGTTCTTTCTTATTATTGTTGTTCTTCATAGTCACCATCAACGTCACCATCACCAGCATCATCTACATGCGCTGTGTGCTCTGCTTTTTGCTCAATGACAGCAACGCCGTCAGACACATCGCCATCCTAGGCACAAAGCCCCTAACATGACCAACCTTAACCACACTAGTTACCCCATCACCCTATTATTCCCACTCTTGGGGGTTCATGGGACTTAGTAAGTACAGTTATAAGTGCCCTAACTGGGGTTATATTATATCCAATTATAAGTATAGTTACCTTATTTATAACCATAGTTACTAAGTCCCATGAACCATTAAGCTTGCCATACCCTCCAAAAGACCTAAACCTCTCAAACCAAAACGCACGCGCAACCTTCAAAACAAGGCCCGGCACCCGGTGTGCTACCCTAAACCCTCGTATTCCCGGATACCGCTTCCGTTTTCCCCTAAACCCTTCCAAAAGTACCCTGGACCCGGCGTGCTGCTGTCAGGCCAAGACACCCAAACCCCAAATAAACCCTAAACCCACTCACCCTAATTCCCAGACCTTAAGCCCTAAAACCCCACTAAACCCCTAAACCCTGCTGTCAGGCCAAGACCCCTAAACTCCACTAAACGCTAAACCCCAAAACCCCGCTCAACCCCTAAACCCTGCTGTCAGGCCAAGACCCTTAAAACCCCACTAAACCCTAAACCCCTAAACCCCACTCAACCCCTAAACCCTGCAGCACCCTAAGCCCTAAACCCTAAACTCTAAGCCCTAAGCCCTAAACCCTGCAGCCTCTCAGGCCAAGGCCCTTGAGGAATATACCTTAAATCATATAAGGGATCCTACCATAGTTAGTTTAAGGAATATTCCTTAATTAAGGTATATTGGAGTCTCTTGGCTGTCAGGCCAAGGCCCTCTATGAGCCTCAGAGTCGGCTACCAGGCCCCAAGCCTGCACAGCACCTCGGCTTACTGCTCTTGGGAGTTATGTTCAGGAGCCAAAGTATCCCTATCTTATTGGCTTTATTAAAGAGGGGATTCTGGGATATCCCAACCTTGTGTTTTTTGTTTAAGTCCTTTTCTGGGTCCCGAGTTATGTTCTGTTGTTCTTATAATACAACTTAAGGGGATCAATAAGTATAAAATATGTATGTTGGTTCGGCTGAGTTTTTTTAGGCGGTTTACGCGTTGGGGTGTTTATGTCTTGGAGTGTTGGGGTTTTGGGGTTTAGGGTTTGCGGTTCGGGGTTGCGTTTAGGGGTTGGGGATTCAGGGGCGTTGGGGTTTTTGGTTCAGGGCTTTTGGGTTCGGGAGTTGGGGCTCCGAATCCAACAACAGTTTAGGGTTTAGGGTTCCCTAAACCCTGAACCCCCAAATCCGAAACGGTCCCAAACAGTCCCGAATTGAAACCTTGCATGCGTTTTAACTGTCTTGGGCGCTAGTCGCACCCCGTTGGCGACGCCAACTTTGCTTCGTGAGGCCTAGTAGTTCGGACCACCCCTTTCGATCGGAGGGGCTTGAAGGTCGAGACGGTTTCTCTTCACACTAAACCCCTAAACCCTAAAAATCATTAACTCTTAAACCCCAAAACCCTAAAAGCCCTTAACTTTGGAACTCTATGTATTTTAGAGTTCTGGGAGGCCACAGAGAATCAAGCCCTCAACGCCTGAACCCGCGAAAGCTCTTGGCGAAGCCAAGGCTGGTAAGAATTGCCGGGGAGCCCTGGTCTTCGGGCTTGAGGTTTGGGGTTTAGGTGTTTTTTGGTAGGAACCCGATTAAGAAACCCTGGGCCTATAACCCCAAAATTGTGGGATTCACTGGGCTTTGGGCTTTACGGTTTGGGTTTCGGGCTGCTAGGGGCTTCGGATTTAGGGTTCGGGATCATTTTGCTTAGTAACGATGGTTATAAATCAATCTACCACAATTCAGGCACGGGGAGGGGAGAGTCCTAAAGTCACGAGTATCTTAGTCGGGCGTTTTATAGGGCCTATGGGGTTCTGTAGGGGTTTTCTCAGGGATCTATGAGGTCTTGTGCGCATTCTACAAGAGTTGCACCGGTGTTTTTCGGATTCTGAAGGGGCTCAAGGGGGTTCCCAGACACTCCAATATCCCTTAGTTAGGGAATATACCTTAAATCATATTAGGGATCCTACTGAAATTTCAGGTATTTTCCGTAATTAAGGGATATTTTGGAGTCTCTGGGTTCATCGGGTTCAGGATTTAGGCTTTCGGGCTCAGGGTGCTTTGGGGGGAGCGGGAGACTGAGCATCTAAAGAATAATCGCTTCTGCATCGGGGCCCAACGATTAGAAGGGGGCTTTGGGCCATATTTGTCTTACAAAGCGAACAGGGGAACTTTAAACTTTTGGCTTTATATATTAGTTCTATAACAGAAAGTTTGAACTTTTTTTGGGCCCGGTTGTCGAAGAAGAGAGTTGTACTGTGATGTAAGAAGGAGCCCTGACGAAAAGTATTGCTCATTATTCGGACCTTACATTACACTTGTGCGTACCTGTGTATGACTGGAACGAAGGCACGCAATGCGAGAGACCTGGCAAGTGCTGATGTTGTTTACGAAGACCAGAAACTCAAAGAAGCAATGCAAAGGTTCTGTTGTATTCTAGCATAATATAGTACAGCATTGTATAGTAAAACTCAATTATAGTAAAGTATAGCCAAAATATCGTTTTGTATAGAAAAAAGCATGTAGAAAAGGGCTGAACATTCAAATTCCAGCGCGGGTCTCCCAAACAACGTCCGTTGCCAGTGCTTGTTCTCATGCCGAGGCGTCTGAGATGACTGAGAACGTGATGGTCATCGAACTGTGCACTGCAAGTGCTGACGGCTGCAAGTCGGCTCTAGCCATGTAGGGCCGCCACTGTTGAAGACACAGCTTTGGAGGGACAGTGGAGCTGATGATGGCTTCCCAACTTGGGCCAAATATGGGAGTTTCCGAAAATTAGGGGTACCTTATTTGGGGGTCCTTATAATAAGGATCCTACTATTTAGGGTACTATATTAGGGTCCCCTATTTTCGGAAACTCCCAAATATCTCCTCGTGCGCCAAACACCAGACCAGAGAGTCGGAAAGTCTTGCCGTCCACAAAGCTGCGGTGCAACTCGCCCGGAGCGTGACTGAGACAACAGGAAGCTGCCTTGGCGCCACATAATATACATACATATATATGTATATACATACGCTATGATACATAACAAAATATACTAAATAATATGTTTTATCTTTGTATATATATATATATATACGCACATATATACATATATATATATATATATATACGCACATACATATATATATATATATAGAAATACATATATATATATATACACATATACATATATATATATATATATATAAAGACATGTACATATACATACACACACATAGATATACAGTTCACCGTCTGATGTCTGGGACCTTCTCTCTCCTCGAGAAGGCTGCGGCAGCACACACGAGGAACGTAATTTGGGTGTCTGAACAATTCGAATTGCTGCCTGTAAACTATGGGAGTTTCCGAAAATTAGGGGTACCTTATTTTGGGCTCCTTATAATAAGGATCCTACTATTTAGGGTACTATATTGGGGTCCCCTATCTTCGGAAAGAATAGACCAGAAACCCTGTTCCAATTAGTTATCAGTCCTCATCTTACACAACCTTGGCCTCCAAAGCGAGCCGTGGAGTGCCAGACAATGACCTAGTAGTCGAGTATAACCCCAATAAAAATAAAAAGGTTAACCGTTAGCTATAGTCTCCTTAACATATTGTGCCAAAGATCCAGAAACCCTATTCCACATAGTAATCTGTCCCCATGTTACACAATCTTGGCCTCCAAAGCGAGTCTTGGAGTGCCAGAAGATAACCACTCCAAGGGGAACAGGAGGGACCCTTAATAAGGACCCCTAGGTATTTTCTGCCATTATATACCCAAAAATATAGCCCATTACAGGGTAGGGGTCCCCCTTAAGGGTCCCTCCTTTTCCCCTTTGAACCACGGTCTTTGCCGCCCAGGGTGTCAGCACTGCGGAGTCCGGGTTGATCCTCGGTAGTGCGGACAGCGCGGAGAGCGCCGGGCAGCCCAGCAATGCCAGGGTGTGAGTAGTTTATTTAGGGTTTAGGGTTTTCAAAAAGACACCAAAACTCTATTCCGATCATTGAGACAGCAAAAATGCAGTCGTGTCGTTTCGCTCGCTTTGTGCGACGACGTGCATGACAATGAGCACTAAAAGTCATCCTCAAAACAACATCCTTCACGGTCATTGAGACTGGCCGCTGTGAACATCATCATCAAGAGGATGCCCTCCAGCCCCCATGCCCTGAACCGTAAAGCATAAGCTCGAGCCCGTCATGGCGCTATGCCCTAAACCCTTGAGTCCAAAAGTTGTGTAGGCATCAGAAAACCAAGCAAAAGCCCTACACCCTGAAATCAAAAGAATCAAAGTCTTGCCCAATATCGACATCTTATCTAGTCTATCAGCGAAGAGCCACGAAAAAATAATGAAAAGTCATCTGGGAGTGTTTCGAGATGCACACTCCCTTCTGAAGGGTGTCCTACCTTTCAAAGTGTTTCCAACCCCGCAGGTCCCGCTTGTCCCGCTTTTCATAACGGGGGGGTGTATAATATGAACAAGTACAAGTAGCAGAATACGAGATTACATCACATTTTATACGACCTTATGCTGTAACTATTGTGGACTTCTCAGGTCTGTTTCGATTCCACGGGCCTCTTCCTGAACGGTCGAAAGAGGGAACCGGTGCCCCAGCCGATGCCACGAGTTGCGTGGGGTTCAGGGGTAGTTATACGAAAGGCTAGAAGTTCTCTGATATGGTTTGTAGTTGTAGGTACCCTGCGTATATGCCCTGCTTGTGACGGCCTATACTACTATTTGCTTAAGAACCCCCCAAAAATAAAAAGTATATTCCTTATGGGGGTAATATGGGGATTATTATTTTTATTTTTTGGGGGGTTTCTTAAGCAAATAGTAGTATAAGTCGGTCGGGGCTCACGGGCCTCATTGGGGGTTCTTCGGATCGGAGCTTTCGGAGTCGGATTCTTGGAGGGTCGGGGGACTTAGTAACACCATGGGTTCCTTAAGGCCCCCTTAAAGGGATCTATAGGGATTCTGTAAGGGTATAGGGTTTAGGGTTTAGGGGGACTTAGTAACTGGTTATTTTAGGGACTTATAAGTACCATAACCCCAATTAGGGTCCCTTTTAGGGTGCTTATAAGTCTGCTTACTACCTACTTACTAAGTCCCCTAAAGACCCTCCAAGTTGAGGGCTGGGTTTAGGGTTGTGGAGCCTGCTTAAAGGATCATGGGGCTTAGTAAGTACAGTTATAGGTACCCTAACTGGGGTTATATCCAATTATAAGTATAGTTACCTTATTTATAACCATAGTTACTAAGTCTCATGAACCTTTAAGTGGGACTGCGGGTATTTGGCTTGGGGTTGAGGGTGCCCAGGTTACCCTCTTGCCCTTTTGATTTTAGGGGTCCCCTTATTGAAACCGAATGGAAAGAAAAAGGGTACCCTTATTATAAAGGGGCTACTCCGAAACCTAGGCGCTTACTGTGCTCAGTGACAAAGGGGTCAGGGCTTGTGTGCAAGCCCGTCTCAGATCGTGGACGTGAGTTGGACATCAAGCCTTCCCACAGCTTCGACAGCATATCGTTCCTCTTTGCCAGGGTAGTTATTGTCACACCCCACTTTGCACTTTAAAAAGCAGTACCTGCAGGGAACCTAAACCCCTGAATTCCGACACCCCCACACCCATAACCCCAGAACCCGAACCCCCAAAGGCCAGCAAGCTGAACACTTAAACCCCAAGCCATAAGCCAGCCAAACCTACTATGAGTATAACCAGGGAACCCCAAAATAGTATACTAGGTAATTATTGAGGCCCCGGTATTATCATGAACGGCACAAGGTTACCTTTAAGCATGATTTTTGAACCCTAAACCGAATAAATCCAAACTCCTCTTGTCTGAGCCATGGAGCTGCAAAGTCTCGCCACCTTGCCACTGACGCCCTCTTCCGCAGCCACTGCACCGCTGCCACCGTGCCCGGGCGCGCCCCGGGTCGAGGAGCGAACCCTAAACCCCTGAACCCTAAACCATGCACTTTAAAAGAAAGAAAAAGCCCTAAACCCCTCAACCTCTCAACCCTAAACCATGCACTTTAAAAACCAAAAAACCCTGAACCCTAAACCCTAAACCATGCACTGTTAAAAATTAGAGAAAACCATGAACCCTAAACCCGAAACACAGCTGGGTCTTGTTAATGGTGTCCTAGCAGTAGAGTAGGTAGCCTTTAGCCTTTGCGGGGGGGTGTTATCATCCCTATATACTCCCAAAGGTTAACCTATAAATCACCTAGGATGCTGGACAAGTAGGCTGTCTTGCGGGGGTTTACAGGGTGTTATGGGTTCGAGGTATATATCTCGGAGGTACCGGGGTTCAACCAACCCCTCTGTACGGCAGGTAGCAACAACAACAGCAGTGATAATAACACGAATAACATTAAACCCTAAACCCCCCAAAACCCTAAGCCCTAAAACCCCCAAACCCTAAAACCCCCAAACCCTTAAACCCCAAAACCCCCAAACCCCTAAACCCCCAAACCCCTAAACCCCTAAACCCCTGAACCCTAACCCCTAAACCCTTCATAAGCCCCCAGCTCTGGGACCGGAGGAGCTCCTCTCCTTGCACGATCTCGCGCGAGAGGCCAGGGAGGAGGCTCCGCAGCTAAAGCTCACCTTTCTCGGGGCCCAATTAGGGGTACCTTTAAGGGGATTCATAAGGGTTCCTTAAACGGATCTATAAGGCGGCTATAAGGGCATGAAGGGGCCTTAATAATCAGAATTCCTTTAAAGGGGGTCTATAAGGCCTACTATAAGGGATCTATAAGGGTAAGTACTATAATAACGGTGCCTTAAGAAACCTTTAAAGGGCTCATATAAGGGTTAATATAAGGGTAGTATAAGGTTTCCTTTGAAGGGCTCTATAAGGGTTTAGGGCTTCCGAAGATTAGGGGGTACCTTGTTTTGGGGTCCTTATAATAAGGACCCTACTGTTTAGGGTATTATATTAGGGCCCCCCCCTTTCGGAAACTCCCATATAGGGCCTTTAAGGATTAGAATGTTAGAATAGGGTTCCTTTTTAAAGGGGCCTTCAATAACGGGTTAGTATAACGGGTTTATAGTAGGGTCCCAAAATATAGTGGCCGTAATGATTTGAATAGGGTCCTTTGAAGGGGTCTACAAGGGTTATTAATTATAAGGGATCTATTTGGGGGGGGGGGGGGCCTTAAAGCAAGGTTAAGGGTAGCATAAGGGATCTGTTTAGAGTGCCTTTACGGGGGTCCATTAAGGGATTTATGAGGGATACTATAGGGTTTTGGGGTTAAGCGCAGTATAAAGGATCTGTTGAGGGTATCCAGAAGCTGCCGAAGCTGTCTGAAGACTTCAAACTTCTCATTGTGAGATGAAGGATTGTTGAAACTCAAGCCTCTGTCATGCAAAGCTCTTGTAAAAGAAAATCATTCAATCGTCCTCGTAGAATCCCTGACAGAATCGTTGTAGAACCCCCAAAACCTAAGCCCCAAATTCTGACCTCGAAACACCTACAACCCCTGAACCCTATAACCCCGATAAGGAACACCTTTGTTGAAGAGCCTCTTATTCCTCAAGAATAGAACCCCCCATAGCCCCCATATAATCCTCTTATAGACTACCTATAGAGCCCCACCCTAACCCCCCAAAATCCTAAAGCCCTAAACCCCAAAAACCTATTGATCTAATCCTGGTTGCAGGAACTTCAGGATCTGAGAAAGATCTTGGAGGCGGGTAGCTCTAAATCAGCGTTCCTAATTAGCACCTCTAGAAGGCTAGTTGGGTGTCTAGGTGTTTGGGGTTTTTGGACTGTTTACGTTGTTTGTGAGTTTTGGCTAGTTTTCAGGGTTTGGGTATTCTTAAGGTTTGGGGTGTTCGGGGGTTTGTGGGTTTCTACGGGGTTTGGGCTTCTTCGCTTTTGGGCTGCCGGGGTTTTGGTGTGTTAGGGTTTTGGAGTCTCCCTGGTGCTTAGTAGAGACTGGGGGAATGGATCCCTATGATAGTCCCTTCGGGTCCCCAAAAGTACCCAGACCCCCGGGAAAATCCCAAAAGTAGATCCGTTAATGACGGTGTCTATAAAGTACCCTGATCTTCTTTCTAGATCCTTCCGGGGGTCGGGGTAGTCCCAAGAATCCATTCCCGACTGAGAACCAGACAGGAGTTCTTCGAGCTTTGCGGTTTTAGGGTTTGTGGTTTAGGGTTTAGGGTGTAGGGTTAAGGCTTCAAAGATCCCTGGCTCCTTTAACGGCTCAAGGTCCCATTTAGGATTCCTTTAAAGCTTTAACTGTCCAGGTCTACCTTAAGATGTTAAGAGTTGCCTTAAGGGTTCGGTTCGTTCTCGAGTTATGGAGGAAGGTGAGAGATGGGTTAGAAGCTGCCCCCACCCTGTAATAGTCTCTATAAGGATTATATTCGGGCCGTATTATATTCCTATTATACCACTATTACAGGGTGGGGGCAGCTTCTAAGAGATGGGTGTGCTTTCTTTGGGTTTTGACCTCTTTGCTAGAGGCTTGCAAGCGGGACCCTGTGGTTTACGGCCTTTATTCAGAAGGATCCCACAGAATAGGGCGGATACTTAAGAGCCTTGCACCAGGTTGAACGGTAGATATTCGGTTATTCGGGTCGTTAAACATCTCGAATCAGCATGCTGCCACAAACCACGACTTGCCAGGGTCTGTGAACACCGAGTAAACCAGAGTCACGCGCAGACCTGCAAACACGAACTTGGATTCCATTTTTCGCGCAAAAGGTTTCCACGTTCTTTGTCCTTGTGGTGGCAGGTCAAGAACAGCGTCATCAAAGACTTGAGTGAGAGATTGGAGGACTTGCCATGTGACAGCGTGTAAAGTAGGGGCCTTAGGGATAGATCTCCACTACGAGATGTCCCATGATCCTACTCTAACGATGCAGGTAAATTAGATCTCGACAAACCTTATAAAAGATCCCTGCTGCTAGATCCCTTGAGGGAACCCTGAAAGGAGCCCATGCTAACGATGCAAGGCCGCTAGCCGCTAGCCCTAAACCCCCGTAACCCCTAACCCCTAAAACTCTAAACCCTTTAAACCCTAAACCCTTAAACCTTAAACCCCTAGTTTCCGGCCTAAGCGCCGCCGCCTTCTAAGCGGCGGCGGCCAAAGCGCCCCTCGCTACTTCTTCGACTCGTTTCCACCCCGGGCTGTTGCCTACCAGGGAGCAATACAACTAGCATGTACTTGGCACCACGAGCGTATAGTATTATGGAAATAATGTGGGTGCCATAATCAGGTCCATCTGCCGAAGCGCCCGCTGCTGGCTTGAATGACCTCGAAAAACCCACGTCTCCGTAGTAGAGATACACTAACAATCCTGGGGCGGCAATCCTCTGAAAGAGAATGCACAGCGCCAGGAGTCCGATGCATGCTTATCTTCGCTGCCCCTTGGCACCTGTCTTCATTAGATCCCCTATACTCGTCGTGGCTTGACGGTGGCTCCGAAGCAGTACAGAACTGCAGGCGTGCATCCAAATCCGAAACGGAACGTCTTCGTGTTGAACTTGCTCTTCTGAGCAATGCCATCTTTGGCTTGCTGTGGTGTTCGTGTGACATGTTGAGTTTGACCCTGATGGTCGATGTAAGCGTGACTGTTGCTATAAGCGTGACTGTTGCTATCGCTTTGACCACCACCCCTACTCGCCCTGTTGCTGTGTTTGGCACTGGTCACTGGCGATCTGGTGATTGTTATCTTTCCTTATAGGGGCCCCCGAAAGGAAGGCATATGCAAAACGAGTCCGGCGTGCCTTTCTTTTCGGGAGGCTTTAATCCAGAAATGCGGGGCGATAGGAAGGCATACGGTTTTGGTCCCCAAGACCCAAAACCTGAGCCCTGCGCCCGTGGCATCCGTTCACCAGCCGCATAACTTGAACATTGCTAGAGCCCAATCAAGACTTTTCGGAGTACCCAATGGAGGATGATAACTGTCACAAAGATCCCAGCTTCCAGCGTGCCGAAACCAAGGCAGTATGCTCCGCCCACAGCGAAGCAAAAAAAACACCGTGAGGTATCGAACGTCGTTCCCTCCCCATGGTTGTTGATTTGCTGAAACACGGCCCCCAACAGATTAATTCACCAAAACTAGTGCTTAGGGGGGATACCACCCCCAGCAGTGACTTAGGCTAAGCGGGGGTGATCTCCCAAAACCACCAAAGCATTACAACCCCCGAACCCTTACACACAGCGCCCACGTATGCCTTCCTTTCGCTCCGGGATGAAGTTTCGGGGCTTCTTCTGGAAACAGACGAACCTGAACTTATATAAACCCCAACGTGCAATATCCTAAACTTGGCCTAAACCTCGTAAGAACAAAAACGCCCAGTGTTCACGGTTCCCAATACCCTACACCACCAAAGCATTGCACCCAGAAACACCCGAACCCTCGCACACAATCCCCCCCAACGCCCACGTATGCCTTCCTTTCGCTCCGGGATGAAGTTTCGGGGCTTCTGTTGGAAACAAACCTTAACTGATACAAACCGCCACGTGCAATATCCTAAACTTGGCCTAAACCTCGTGAGAACAAAAACGCCCAGTGTTCACGGTTCCCAACACCCTAAACCACCAAAGCATTGCACCCAGAAACCCCCGAACCCTTACACACACTCCCCCCCAACGCCCACGTATGCCTTCCTTTCGCTCCGGGATGAAGTTTCGGGGCTTCTTTTGGAAACAAACCTTAACTGATATAAACCTCCACAAGCAATATCCTAAACTTGGCCTAAACCTCGTAAGAACAAAAACGCCCAGTGTTCACGGTTCCCAATACCCTACACCACCAAAGCATTGCACCCAGAAACACCCGAACCCTCGCACACAATCCCCCCCAACGCCCACGTATGCCTTCCTTTCGCTCCGGGATGAAGTTTCGGGGCTTCTTCTGGAAACAAACAAACCTTAACTTACATAAACCCCCGCGTGCAATATCCTAAACTCGGCCTAAACCTCGTAAGAACAAAAACGCCCAGTGTTCACGGTTCCCAATACCCTAAACCACCAAAGCGTTGCACCCAGAAGCCCCCGAACCCTTGCACACACTCCCCCCCACGCCCACGTATGCCTTCATTTCGCTCCGGGATGAAGTTTCGGGGCGTCTTCTGGAAACAAACAACCTTAACTCACATAAACCCCCACTGCCCTAAACTTGGCCTAAACCTCGTAAGAACAAAAACGCCCAGTGTTCACGGTTCCCGGCACCCTAAACCACCAAAGCATTACACCCAGAAACCCCCGAACCCTTACACACACTCCCCCGCAACGCCCACGTACGCCTTCCTTTCGCTCCGGGATGAAGTTTCGGGGCTTCTTTGGAAACAAACAACCTTAACTCACATAAACCCCCACATGCAATCCTCCTAAAGTTGGCCTAAACCTCGTAAGAACAAAAACGCCCAGTGTTCACGGTTCCCGGCACCCTAAACCACCAAAGCGTTACACCCAGAAACCCCCGAACCCTTACACACACTCCCCCGCAACGCCCACGTATGCCTTCCTTTCGCTCCGGGATGAAGTTTCGGGGCTTCTTCTGGAGACAACAAATCTTAACTTATATAAACCCCACGTGCAATATCCTAAACTTGGCCTAAACCTCGTAAGAACAAAAACGCCCAGTGTTCACGGTTCCCAATACCCTACACCACCAAAGCATTGCACCCAGAAACACCCGAACCCTCGCACACAATCCCCCCCAACGCCCACGTATGCCTTCCTTTCGCTCCGGGATGAAGTTTCGGGGCTTCTTCTGGAAACAAACAAACCTTAACTTACATAAATCCCCGCGTGCAATATCCTAAACTTGGCCTAAACCTCGTAAGAACAAAAACGCGCAGTGTTCACGGTTCCCAATACCCTAAACCACCAAAGCGTTACACCCAGAAACCCCCGAACCCTTGCACACACTCCCCCGCAACGCCCACATACGCCTTCCTTTCGCTCCGGGATGAAGTTTCGGGGCTTCTTCTGGAGACAGACAAATCTTAACTTATATCAACCCCAACGTGCAATATCCTAAACTTGGCCTAAACCTCGTACCCAATAGACCGGCGAAGTCAAAAAAGCAGGAAATAGTCAATAGTAAAAATTTTGACTTCGGTTCATTTTGACTTTGACTTCGAAGTTAAAACCGGGCGTAGAAAATAGTCAATTTGCGTGGCGTCAAAGTGACTTCGCGAAGCCAAAATTTTGACTATGAAGTAAACTCGGTGCAAAACTGCTAGAGGAAGTTTGGTGGAAGTTTCCTCTAAACTGCTTCTGAAACTGCTTCCAAACTGCTTCACCCTGAGTGGCAGTTTCAAGGGGCCGAAATCAAAACTTCCACTAAACTGCTCTTCATGTTTTTGCATTATTTCCGGCAACGAATATGGGTACTTACATGCAAAAAACAATTCAAGTGTACATGGCAGACCGACACATATACGAACCCACCTGCACACATCTTCCGCAACACACACACAAACAACAAACCTATATATACTTATGCACACAAACACACACAACAATACACTTTCAAAGAGCAAAATCTCTGTAGCAGTTTCGGCCGGCCACAGAAGCAGTTTGGAAGCAGTTTCAGTAGCAGTTTCCCCTTCCCGAGTTTACTTCGAAGTCAAAATTTTGACTTCGAAGTAAACTCTGTTTTGACTTTGCGGGGGCGGCGTTTTAACTTCAAAGTAAACGCAAAAAAATTAACTATTGACTTCGAAGTTAACTAACATAGTCAATTCGCGTTTTGACTTGTTTATAAAAAAAGCTCTTTTTCTATGAAAAAGGGATTCGCTACTTTTCTGACTTCGCCGGTCTATTGGGTAAGAACAAAAACGCCCAGTGTTCACGGTTCCCAACACCCGAAACCACCAAAGCGTTACAGCCAGGAACCCCCCAGAAACCCAAACACCCAAACCCAGAAGCCTTGAACAGCAAGGCCTTAATACTCCTAAACCCTTCCACCCCTCATTTAAAGCAAAGCTGTGAGCGCAGCTGCTCGGCGGAAATATACAGGGACACCCTAAACCCTTCTAAGCTTCCATCGCAAGGGTTCTAAGGGTGGGTCTGCATTTCGGGATTTAGGGTTTCTAGGTTCAGGGTGTCTAGGTTGCTTAGGGGTGTCGAGTTTCTGGATTTGGGGATTCTGTGTGCAGGATTTCTGGATGCAGGGTTTCGGGCTTTTTCAGGGTGTGGTGGTATCCAGTTTCTGGGTTGAGGGCTTTTGGGTTCGGGGTTTCTGCGTTCAGGGTTCAGGAGTATTAAGGCCTTGCTGTTCAAGGCTTCTGGGTTTGGGTGTTTTGGGTTTCTGGGGGGTTTCTGGGGTAACGCTTTGGTGGTTTAGGGTGTTGGGAACCGTGAACACTGGGCGTTTTTGTTCTTACGAGGTTTAGGCCAAGTTTAGGATATTGCACGTTGGGGTTTATATAAGTTAAGATTTGTCTGTCTCCAGAAGAAGCCCCGAAACTTCATCCCGGAGCGAAAGGAAGGCGTACGTGGGCGTTGCGGGGGAGTGTGTGTAAGGGTTCGGGGGTTTCTGGGTGTAACGCTTTGGTGGTTTCGGGTGCCGGGAACCGTGAACACTGGGCGTTTTTGTTCTTACGAGGTTTAGGCCGAGTTTAGGGAGGATTGCATGTGGGGGTTTATGTGGGTTAAGGTTGTTTGTTTCCAGAAGAAGCCCCGAAACTTCATCCCGGAGCGAAATGAAGGCATACGTGGGCGTGGGGGGGGAGTGTGTGCAAGGGTTCGGGGGTTTCTGGGTGTAACGGTTTAGGGTATTAGGAACCGTGAACACTGGGCGTTTTTGTTCTTACGAGGTTTAGGCCAAGTTTAGGATATTGCACGTGGGGGTTTATGTAAGTTAAGGCTTGTTTCCAAAAGAAGCCCCGAAACTCATCCCGGAGCGAAAGGAAGGCATACGTGGGCGTGGGGGGGGAGTGTGTGTAAGGGTTCGGGGGTTTCTGGGTGTAACGCTTTGGTGGTTTAAGGTGTTGGGAACCGTGAACACTGGGCGTTTTGGTTCTTACGAGGTTTAGGCCAAGTTTAGGATATTGCACGTGGGGGTTTATGTAAGTTAAGGTTTGTTTCCAAAAGAAGCCCCGAAACTTCATCCCGGAGCGAAAGGAAGGCATACGTGGACGTGGGGGGGGGAGTGTGTGCAAGGGTTCGGGGGTTTCTGGGTGTAACGGTTTAGGGTGTTGGGAACCGTGAACACTGGGCGTTTTTGTTCTTACGAGGTTTAGGCCAAGTTTAGGATATTGCATGTTGGGGTTTATTTAAGTTAAGCTTTGTTTGTTTCCAGAAGAAGCCCCGAAACTTCATCCCGGAGCGAAAGGAAGGCGTATGACTTTTGGACCCTTCTGGTGGCAGCCTGAAGTTGGGACAAATTTTGGGGGCCCGAACACCCCCCAAAAGCCTTCCTATAGTATCACGTTCCATATGCCTTCTATTCGGGGCCCCCTATATTGTCGTTTAAAGTTTACCGTCTTGCAACAGCATGCGGCTAAGTGAAGCGAAGCCACGTTTGGTCAAGGCTCCGATAAAGCAAGGCTGCAAACGGACAGTAAAAAAACACAGAAACGCATCAACAGCCTGCCCCTAAACCCTAAAACCCGGAATCAAAAAGGATCCAAGTTCCGAGAGGTGCCAAGAACTCAGCCCCCCTCCTCTTGGGTATGAGAGTTGAACTTACAGATACAAAATCAGTAAGTAAGTAAGTAAGCATTTCTAACGCAAAGAAGCCATTCATTCACATGTGTGCCCGAAACCCCAAGCCCCTAAACACAAACCTTGAAAGTCCAAGGCGCCAGGAAAGTGCCGAACTGCGGCGTGCCCTCCGAAGCGGTGGTGCCGCGCCCGCCTTGCGAGCACTGCCACTTGGTGTTTGGTTTGGGGTTCAGGGGTTTAGGGTTTAGGGGTTTACTGTTTAGGGGTTCAGGGTTTAGGGGTTTACTGTTTAGGGGTTATGGGTTTCGGGTTTTAGGGGTTTAGCCTTTAGGGGGTATGGGGGTCTAGGGTTTGGGGTCTTGGGGCTCGAAATGTCACGGTATTTTGGGGTTGTCACAGGGGTTTATGGGTGTGTGTTGCTTGTAGGGCTGTTTAGAGTTCCTAGCGTTTCCTAATTTGAAGCTTTTATGAAAATGCTAAAGGTTCAAAAGCTTTTTCTCGGGCTTTACAAGGCATGAACAAAATGAGGACAGTGATGATCCCATATACACCCCATTATGATGATGCCCAATAAGGTAGGGATATCCTGTAAAATGCTTTTGCTTATGTCCTTTTGGGGCCGCTAGTTTAGGGTGAAAGCTGAGAGCCTTACAGCCGTTAACCCCATAAACCCCTGAACCCTGTTTAGGAAACTGCAGTAGGGAAAGCGTTCAGCAGCATTACAGTGGCCCTTGTGGACACCAAAAACCAAATCACAAAGTTGGAGATGCCAACAAACCGCAATGTTAAAGCTCTGAACCTTTACCAAGCTAATTTAAGAAGCCAAACCATCCAATAACATAAACTCTGAAAGACCAGAAATGGTAAGTTGGAAAGCCGGAAAGCTAGGTTAGGAATCCCAGAAATCCCTAAGAACCTAAGCTCTAGCAAGAAGAAAAACATTTGCAAGTTTGATCACAGGAAAACAACCCTGAACCCTAAATGTACACGAACAAAAAAGTTTAAGCTCGAGAATCTCGACCCCTGAATCCCCAAACCCTAAACCCTAAACCGCTGCTTAAGAAAAGAAAACATGTACACATGTATCGACATAGGTACATGTGAAGAAGTCTCATTGTCATTTAACTTAACTATTCTTGGCAGAAGCGCAAATCGAGGCTCCAGCAAGCTTCGGAGGGCGGAGCAAGGCTGAGGCGTTGCTTGGCCCAGGAGGCACGTCTGCGGGAGGCCACCGCTTCAGGGTTTACGGTTTAGGGGTTCCTTTTAAAGAATTCAGTTTAAGTTACCATAATAAGGAAACCTACCCATTTTCTAACAGGTCGGATTCCTTGAGTAGGGCTGCAAAAAGACAAGAGGCACAAGCATTTTGAAAGGATATCCCTACCTTGCTGGGCTTCATTATACGGGGATTTATATGGGATATCCGTATCCTAGTTTTGTTTATGCGTTGTTTTGAGTGGCCCTAGTCAGGGACTCTTCTGAGGGATTGATGTTACAGGTCAAGGGATTGGGTGTTAGAGGCTTGTTAATCGACGAAGTCGGGCGCTTACCTTTTTGTTGCAGATAGTTGTTTGAAGGGTTGTCGGTGGATTTGTTAGCTTTTTGTATTGGGCTTTAGATTACTAGGATGCCCAGTAGTACCCTTATTCCCTTTTTGTAGTCCTAGGTTCCTTATAAAGTTACCCAATACCAAAAAGAGAGGCCTTTTTATTCTTAGGTTACTGGGTATCCTAGATTAGGGGCCTTTATGGGTGTGCATTAGAAGCTGCCCCCACCCTGTAATAGTGGTATAATAGGAATATAAAAGGGCCCTAATATAATCCTATATAATCCTTATGGTCACTATTACAGGGTGGGGGCCCCTTCTAAGGTGTGCAGGCTAATGGTTTTGGAATCTGGCTTCTGGGGGGTGGGGGGCCCGGAGATTGTCAGGCAGGCTGTGTTTGTTATGAGACAACTGACTCCTCCTCTGCTTGCTTGTGCCGTACATGCGATTGAAAAGAGCGTCAGTGCATAATGAGTCTGCGTGCATTTCCTGGGCCTGGCGTGTTCACAATCCCGAAACCCCTAAACCCCTGAACCTCTAAAACCCTAAACCCTATAAACCCTAAACCCTAGACCCTAAACCCCTAAGGGCGACCAAACCGCCGATCCACGTCCTACTCGCGCTCCTAAACTCCTACGACTACAGCTGATGGTCCTGTTGTTGCTACCACTGGTGCTGCCACTCCCACGACGACAGTTGGCACGAAGCAATTAACGTAGGTAAGGCATTTTCAGGAGTCAACTCCACAGCATAAGATGTCATTGCCATTCAACATTCGGCCGACAACGCAAGCGAGATCCCAAAATTGTGTTGGGCGCTGCAATTGTGATCGCAAGGGGGGAGGGGGGCGGGGGCGGTGCACCACCCTTGGCTGAAGCGTTTTATTGAAGCTGATAAGAAACTAAAGTGTTCTGGCTTCGCACAATCCCTAAACCCTAAACCCTAACTCCTGCCGTCAATACTCGATTCTGTGGCATGCGAGGTCTTCACGTTGGGCACCTGGGAAGCCGAAGCAAGACTTCTTCGTTACGCCAGGAGTGGGCTGTGGCGGCCCAGCGTGTTCGGGAAGACCTCCGTGTGCATGAGGCCCTACTGTGGGCATCTGGTATTGCAGGGGCCCGAAAAATTACCAAGACTATTTTGGGGGGATTCCTTATAATACTCATAGTGTAATATTCCCGAGGGAGGCTGTACTTGCGCCTGCTTATGTCGTCTGGTGGCAGGGGTTACTTTCGGTCGCAACGCTCGCAAATTGTAGTCCGACCGTCAGTTTCTGCGAGCTTGATAAAAGAACATGTCCACAATGGAGTCCCCATGAAAGGTGCGACTGGGACCTGACAGACATTTCGCTTCTCAGGGTCGTGACCCCGTCTGCTAGGATCTCGAGAAACGTGGGTCGGAAAGGCTCTGAGGGCTAACTATAGTCTCCTTAGGAATTATCTTTATTTTTGATTTTGTTCAGATAAACCCCAAGAGAACATTAAAAGTAATATTGTTATTATGGTTCATTACTTCTTGTTTTTGTTCATATAAAACCCAAGAGAACATTAAAAATTAGAAGTAATAATATTATTATTATCATTATTATTATTGTTATTGTTATTATTATTATGGTTCTCAGGGGGGGTATAGCTAACATGACGCCAGTGCTGTTAGTGATCCAGGCAGACGGCTGCCATGCGAAGATCCAGCATGCCGAAGAGGAGTGGCGCAGTTGGGTGGTAATGTAGGGGCCTGAATAATTACCTACCTTATTTTGGGGGCTCCTTATTAAAACTGTAGTATAATGGGCCCCAAAACCCTAATTGTAGGTCCTTGCTTTGCTGATGCTCGGGTATCGATGTCTTGTCCAGAAACACCACTGAGTAGGAACTTCGGCTGCAGCTGCTACCACTACTACCACCACCACCACCACCACCGCCACCACCACCACCACCACCACCACCTACCCACCAACACAACTCTACCCCTACTGCCATTGCCACAACAACTGACGACAATGCCACCTCGAGCCATTTCCAAGCTCTCTCCCCCATCTTGAACCTCAAATGTTTCAGCTTTGACATCATCAATGCTTTTTGGGCACCGAGCTCTCAAACATAGACACCCACAGTAAGCCCATTTACACGCAGAAAACTCAGCTGTCCGTTGAACACTTGGGCAGCGAGGAGGCAGTCTTGCATTTCCAGTGCCTTGCTGCGAAGACCTCTGCGGAACTGGCAGAGGTGGCGGGCTTCCTACCCCCCTTCACAGTCCTGGAACTCACCTCGCCCCTTCGCAGTCCCAAACCCTCTAAACCGTAAAACCTCCAACCCTCATAACATAGAAGCCTAACCAAATCCCACTACCATTGCTTATAACGCTAAGGCTATAATATACCGAAAAAAACATTTTCTGATTATTAGCACCCCTACCTTACTAGTAAAAGGAGCCCAGTCTTGCCTAGGTACGAACCCGATGAAAGATCTAGATTGTAATTGCTCTAGATGATGTGAAAGCCTGAGCAGTCACCAATAGTAGTCTTCTCCTTATTGAATTCTACTAGTCATACGGTTGATGATGTAAATCCTGCATTACCCATAGTAAGGAGTATACCATGATTCCCATAGTTTAGGGTCCTTAGTCCTTAAGGTAATGCAGGGTTTATATCGTCTAGTAGAGTAAGCCCTCATTCCCTCTTTGCAGGGATCAGGTTCCCCTATAAGCCCCTTTAAAGCAAAAAGGGCACCCTTTTTATTCCTAGGTTACTCTTAGGTCTGGTCATCAACAGCAATATCCCATGATCAACCTCGATCCCGTTTCCAACGACTTAGGGCCCCTCCGGTAGGCCTCTCACACGGTTAAATGGGAGTTTCTGAAAACGAGGGGTACCTTATTTTGGGGGTCCTTATAATAAGGATCCTACTATTTAGGGTACTATATTCGGAAACTCCCAAATCGACCCTTCTTGGGCCTAAGAGTACCTCTTTTTTAACTATCCTTTTCAGAGGCTTTCGAGCGCCATCTGGTGCTAGGTTCAATTCTGATACCATGACATCCGGAATTTGGAATGGCACCAGGGCTGTCTTCAGGCAGTTCCTACATCACTAATAATGTCTTTTAGGGCTCCGGGTTTCAGTTTTGAAGCGTTTAGCCTCAAGAGCTCGTAGCTCCGAATTCATCCAAGGATACACTAGAAGGTCCTTCCGGGCTTTGCCGGGGTGGACATAAGGGCTACTATACTGACCGTAAGGGCTACTATAAAAGGCTGAATCTTTAGGGCTTTTGGGTTCTGGGGGTTCCTTGTACTGCAAACCCGAAACCCTAAACCCTAAGCAGAATAGCCATAGTCAGTTTTCCGCCCATGAGCCGTCAAGCCGACCCTTGTGCCGGAGCGGTTTTACATCTAGCACTAACTTAATAGCTGAGTGGATCAACTTTACAATTTCGGGGATATGATTACCCACTATGAAACTGAACGTGTACACTTTTCGGGCTTCTGAACTCAGCAACGAAGGTAACATGGAACCTATAACCAAAAAAGACCTAGTTTCTATACATAGTCCCTGAAAAGATAGATCTTTTGGGCCACAGGTGACCTTTTGGGGGTAGTATAACATCGAAATCAAAAATCTAGGTCTAAAGCCAATACCCCCCCCCCCCGTCTTCAACATCCAGAACCTGAGCCACAACCACTACAGCCGAAACCTCAGCCCTGAACCTGGAGCCCAAATGCTATTCTTACTTAGCCTATTGGAGAACTTTAAACTTTTCGGCTTCATATATTTGGTCTAGCTTAAAAAGATTGAACTTTGTTTGGGCCTGGTTATTGGAGAAGAGAGTATTAGGGTTTGGGGTAGGGTTAGGGGTTTAGAATTAGAATATCAGAATAGGGTTCCTTGTCAAGGGGCCTTCCATAGAGGGTGGAGTTTCTGAAAATGAGGGGTACCTTATTTTGGGGGTCCTTAGAATGAGGATCCTACTATTTAGGGTACTATATTAGGGTCCCTGTTTTCGGAAACTCCCATATAGAACCCCTATACCATGCCCTTTGTTAGACCAGGGTCCCCTATGTTCGGAAACGCCCAAATCTCTCCCTAAAGTAAATGCCAGAAAGTTGGAATATGATTATCTTAACCCTTTATGGAAAAATTATAGGGTATCCTACCTCGAAACCATATTCCAACTTTCTGGAGTTCCCTCTAAACCCCTAACTCCTAAGCCCTAAACCCAAACCTCTGATCGTCGATCTCATCTCTTCCTGGGAGGCGCAGCTACGCGCAGAGTGCACGGAGCTTCGCGCCAAGGTCTCGCCGCTGAGAGCTGTGAGGTGTAGGGCCCCTTTGAGCAAGGCTTCTATTGGTTTGGGGGTTTAGGGTTTACGGGTTTAGGGGTTTAGGGTTTATATGCTGCCCATTATACTATGAATATAATAAGGAATCCGGTGATTCTTTAGGCCCCTATAGTAGGGCCCCTTTGAGCAAGGCTTCTAGAACCCTTTAAAGTTTGTCATAGTTGGGCATCGTCTTTCATGTGTATGGGCACTTAAAACCAAGAGGGAATAGAATCTCCAACCAGGGACTAGGCAACGCTGATAGAGCTCCTTAAACCGTAGTCGAAGTACAAGGATCTCCGACTCAGGGGAAGGAGCTTATCAGGTTTAAAGTGCAAGGTCCGGGCTTTTCAATCACACCTGCAAACGCCTAAGCCTCGAGACTTAGTGGGTATCAGGGCCGTTATCCCAATCCTCAGCCGTCCTACTTTCTTGCGCATCCTCGCCTTCCTCTCCACAGCTAGTGATCGAGCAGGTCACCACCTTCGGCCTGATAGCCATGTTTGAAGCGATTTGGGATTTTGGGTGTAGGAGCAAACTCAATAGCGCAGCATCATGATGTGCTTCTCAAACCTCGTGCACGCTTTTGCACCCCGGACTGCTTGGCAACTGTCTTGCATAGGAAGTGCACATGTCTTCGTCGCCATGTATACAGCTACGTGATGCAAGCTGCTCGATAAAGGAAACTCCAGAAAGTTGGAATATGGTTTCAAGGTAGGATACCCTATAATTTTCCATAAAGGGTTTAGGAAAATCATATTCCAACTTTCGGGCTTTTACTTTAGTACAGTTATAGGTACCCTAACTGGGGATATATCCAATTATACTATGTATAACCATAGTTACTAAGTCCCATGAACCTTTAAGTAGAACTATACACGGTGGAGGTGCTTGAGCCGCATGATCGAAGGGGGATGAACAAAATCCTGCATGACCCTGAGGACTCTAAACTATGGGAATTACTCGGACCTAGAGTAGGCCCTTATTCCCTTTTTTAGGGTTCAGGTTCCCTTTTCAGCCCCTTTACACCAAAAAGGGCATCCTTTTTGTTCCTAGGCTACTCTTGGGTCTAGATTATGGTGTACTCCTCATAATGGGTAATGCAGGATTTTGTCCATCAGCCGTACCAGGCAGATGAGCAATTCGAAATGAAAGAGGCCCAGGTTCACCAGCTCCTCGGCACTTGGGAATTTGCGGTCAAGGCCTGCATCTAGATCTTCGATTACAGTGGAATCCTGAAACATAATGGTATATATATATATATACACATACATACATATATGTATATATATATGTATTCCTCAGTAGCGGGAATTTCCCACTTTGAGAACTTCAAGTCTTCTCTCATCGGGACCCGAAATCGCTCAACAGTATGTGTCGAAGTTGAACTGGGTCTGTATACTATAGGGACCTTCAAAATTACCTACACTATTTTGGGGGGCTCCAAATTGTAGCTATAGTATAATGCGCCCCAAACTCTATTCTAATTATTAAGGCTCCTATATTACTGAATAAGTTGTGAGACGATTTCTTGTTATTACGAGTTGCGCAACAGTTATCAACTCCCCAATATCGCAGAGCCCGTATAACCCTCTTCGATTAATCCTTATAGAACCCTTTGAAGAACCCGTAAGGGGAATACTTGCGTTACTCCGCGACTGCAGGTCCAGAGCTCCATGGCCTTTCCGGATGCACACGAATGTGGGTGGTTGTCAATATTAGGGTTCCTTTTTGGGTCCTTATTATAATACGGCACCTAATATTTAGGGTACACACATGTAGGGGCCTCAATAATTGGAAAAGGGTTTGGGGGGTGCCTTGTACTACAATCATAACAAGGAACCCTAAAACCCTATTCTAATTATTAAGGTCCCTACATTAGGTAAAAGGATCCTTCTTTCAAGAACCATTAGCAATAAACATCTGTGAAAATAAGGAGCCCCAATATGGGGAAGCCTACATCCTCGAAACCCTTACAGTTTACGGTGCCGACCAGGTTGCACAGCGCCAAGGAGGAGGCGGATAGACTGCGAGAGCTGCCTGGCTCATGTGGCGAGTAAATTCTATCGCCTAGTAGTCGAGTAGCTAACCTTTAACCTTTTTTGGGTCGTATAATCCCTATATAATCCCCATATAACCGAAAAGGTTAACCTGTAGTTCCCCATGATACCCGACAAGTAGGATCGTTTAAGCGTCTTCAATGTCACATAAATTAGTTTTCGGTGGTACTCGCCTTGAGGGTCGTCGACGGATTGTTGTAGGTGAGGAGGACAGGGTGCTTATCTTAAAACCATACCGTCTGTATATCATATACAAGTGCATATTATGCACTTGTTTGCGGAAGGATCCTTCTTCTTTGGGGCTTGGGGCCTGTGTGAGAACGGTTAGCGTCATCGAGATCATCTTCTCGAAACCAATATAGGGGCCTAAATTAATAATAGTTACCTGTACTCGTTTGTGGGTTCCTTATTTTATTTTTAGTATCATGGGCCCCCAAACTCGGCCCCAAAATCCTATTCCATTTTTTGAGGCCCCTATAGTGTGCAATCTCGCAGTCAGTTTGCGTGTGCCGGTTCATAGAATCAGTGGCCTCTGCGCTTCCGAGTGCCAGAGCCGAGATTGGCTTGTGCTTCCGGAAACAGGAGACCCTAATACAGCACCTTAAACAGTCGCATCCTTATCATAAGGACCCCAAAATAAGGTACCCCTAACTTGCGGAAGCTCCCTCGTGGCTTCTTCCTAGGTTCCTGAGTTGTGAGTAGTACCTCTTGCCCTTTCATTTTCAAGTCCCCTTAAAATTTAAAACCGAATAGAGGGAAAAGGGTACCCTTGTTCCACCCTCTTCATTGTCACGGCCATGCTCCGGCAGCTCATCATAAAAACGATGGGTTTTCCTGCATCATCACCGCTCACGCTGAGCTTCGAAGGTCGTCGCTGTGGTGACTTTTACGATCACATGGGGGTTTCCGAAAATAGGGGACCTAATATAGTACCCTGAATAAGGTACCCCTATTTTTCGGAAACGCCCACATAGCCTTACAGGCATTCGGGTTGTTATCGTTATTAACTCTGGCGAAAACTGTCGATACCCGCGTTTGCAACATCCTCATCACCACAGTGCTACCAGCATCATCTTCAGAGCCATCACACTTCTTTCGTTCGGCACTATCACGGCTAAGATGTCAGCATTATCGGTGGAGGTGGGGGGGGGGGGGGGGGCGGGGCCGAAACGATGGCTGGACGCCCCCATTTCTTTCCCATGCCGCACTCTCCGAACTGGTTTCGGGCTTCGGGGCTTGGTTGGGGATCTTCGGCCTAAGCCCTCAAAAAGAAGCCCCTAAGTGTACCATCCTCAAAAGCCCTGTACTTGGGGGTTCATGGGACTTAGTACAGTTATACCCTAACAGGGGTTATATCCAATCCCGTGAACCTTTAAGTTTTTTGCACAACCACGAAAATTCCCAAAGGCGCTGTAAAGCCGCCTTCCACCTTCGGGGCCCTCACCTAACGTAGGGGCCTTAAACAAATAGAATAGGCTTTGGTGGCACGTGATGCTACCCAATAATAAGGAACCCCGATCTATTCAGAGAATCTAAGGCCCCGACATCTTTGTACCCTTATAGATCCCTTACAGTAGCCCTATTCTAATTCTTAACACCCCTACATAAACTCTTCAAATTCACAGGCGCCTGGGCTGCATGGCTCGAGGAAGGCGAACGCTCCGGCGCCGAGTGGAGGCGCTGTGCGAAGGCCTGGGCGATGGCTGTAGGCTAGGACCTGGAGTAGGCCCTTATTCCCTTTTTTGAGGGTTCGGGTTCCCTTGTAAGCCCCTTTAAACCAAAAAGGGCGCCCTTTTTATTCCTAGGATACTCTTGGGTCTAGTTGTAGGGTTTACGGGTTTAGGGTTCAGTGGGTGTTTGGAACAGGGTTTAGGGTGTTTGGGTTTAGGGTTCAGAGTTCAGGGTTAGGGTTCAGGGTTTACGGTTTAGGGAACAGGGTTAAGGGCTTAGGGCTCGAAAAGGCTTCTTCACCCGTATGCAGCTCCTTCAAGCGCAAAATCTTAGTAGCTGAGTGGATACACTTTGCACTTTCTGGGATAATACCACCCATTATAAAACCGAAAGTGTGCACTTTGGGGGGGGGGGGCTTATGAACTCAGCAAATCAGAGACCTTAAGCTCTGGACGCTACACCCTCGGCTCTGTACCCCGGACCCGGGACTCCGGGACCCTGACCCATAAACCGAGGTATACCACACCCAGACCCCCGGAAGGATCCAAAAAGTAGATCCCTTAATGCTTAACGGGGGGTTCCTATAAAGCACCCTTAGTAGTGTAGGGCCCCAAATTAGGGGATCTACTTTCTAGATCCTCTCGGGGGTCTGGGCAGACGTTTCTAGTGGTCAAGGAGTCCAGTCGGAACCCTGAGAAAGCTGGGTAGAAGCCGTTAACCTTTCTGGGGCACATAAGAGTCTACCATCATGAAAAAAGTTCACCTTTCCCTGGTCTAGAGTATTGATTGTACATTACAGTTTTTCAGAGAAAATCTTCTGGAGTTTTCACAGAATGAAAAAGTACATTATAGTATGTCAAACCTTCCCCAATAACTCGCAAGTCCAAGCCTCGGGTCTTTCCTCCCTCCAACCTCAAAACCGAAAGCGGTAGGTCCATCTATGGCGTACGGGCGCAAATGATTGCCAATGCTATTTGGGGCTTAGGGTTTTAGGCTTTAGGGTTTAGGGTTTAGGATATTGTAGTTAGAGTACAACGTACCAAAAACTCTATTCTAATTATTAAGGACCCTGTATTGCCCGATGCCCTGAAGACCTCTAAAACCTGGACCCCTAAAGCCTTCAAGCCCAAATGCACTAAATCCGGTACACCCTACACCCCAAAACTCTTCCAGCCCAAATAGACTAGATCTGAATGTGTTGGTGCTTCTAGCGGATTCTAGCGCCAGGGGAAAGTGCCTGCTTTTGCAAGTAATCGAGGATTCCCTGATACATTCGTGCTATACAACCGCCCCAAACCCTAGTCTAATCACTCCGTGTGTCTTGCTTGATTTTAGTACGTACCATCATTTACACGGCACAAATCACCGAAACCCTTGCCTGATCATTATGGCTCCTACGGCAGACCTTATTAACTTATCATGGAAAGCCATAAAGACTAGCAAAACCTACCCTAGAGCCCTAAACCCTATGCCCTCAACCCGAAGCCTTAAACCTACCAATGTTTGCAAGCCTCCGCAAAAGAGACTTCTGCCTTTCATGCGCCAGGAAATGGCAGCCCCGAGGACCACGCAGACCTTTCTTGCGACTTTTGGTGGTGTTAGGGTTTAGGGTCTAGGGACGCTGATTTAGCATATCGAACCCTTCAAGTAGCCCTTGTAAAGGAACCCTGTAACACTTCTAGAACCCCCAAGAAGGGATGCTAATTTCGAGAGCTACCCGTCCTCAACCCGCATAGTAGCCCTTTTAAAGGAGCCCGGTAACCCTCATAGAGCCCCATAATAGGATTCTACCTTAGATAGCTACCCACATATGTACCCTTGTAAGAACCCTATACAAACCCTTATAAATCCCTTGAAAGACCCCTTAAAAAGGACGCTAATTCAGAAAACTACCCTGTATCGATCGCCTCAAGAAACCCTGAAGCCCTGATCCTTAACAAAGGAACCCCACAGATAGAACATCTCTATGAGATTGCTGATGATGGTGTTACGGATCCCATGGGCGCCCACAGGTATCTCTCCGAGCACTGGGTGGGCGAACAGAATTTGAGCTGGTCAGACAACCAGCCGAATTCGATTGACGAGCCGTGGTACTGTAGCATGGCAGTTTTATCCGCCCTGGAGGAGTGCAGGCACGGCCCATGCCAGCAGGGGTGGCGAGATCCTGTCAAGGTACGCACCTTTCAGATTGAAGACTCGGCGACGGTGGAAGTGCAGCGTGTGATCTAGGTTCGCTGATGCTCAGGCTGAGGATGCAAGAAAAAGACAGAGTAGAGAGTAATTCAAAGAGACCTTTCGACAGAAGACAGAAGTTTATAGGAACTTGTACAGCAAGCTGTTAAGATGCTTTTCTGTCCGTCGTTCGCTCGCGGAAGCAGTACTGCTGTGGCCATCCCTCTTCCGGGAGCGTTTAGGGTTTAGGGGATCAGGGTTTGGGGGCTTGGGGTTTCGGGGTTTAGTGTTTAGGGGCTTTACGGGCCTTCGGGTTTAGGGATTTAGGGCTTAGGGGCTCAAGTCTTATAAGGTTTAGGGGCTCAGGATTTAGGGTCTAACTCCTGAACGCCCTTGTTAGATCGGTGAAAAAGGCACGCCTTCAAGGAACCTTAAGCTTGTTCTATCTCGGTCAAAGCGTTGAAACTGAATTCTAAAACCGATTATCGAACCCTCATTAGATCCTTTCACGGCACCCCTTAAAGGAAGCCTATGCTAAGAAATAGCCCATATACGACTGCGGGAGGAGGCCGAAGAGAAGTGTCGGAGGCTTTGTGAAGAGGCCGACCGCTTTAACGGAAAGAGGGTGTTTAGGGTTCAGGGTTGAGGGATTTTGAGGTTTAGGGTTGAGGATTTAGGGTTGAAGGTTTGGGGTTGAAGGTGTGTAACAGTATGCCCGCGGTGGTACGTTTCTTTTGAAATAAGGGCGCACCCACTTATCACGCGCTTGCGTCAGCATATAGTCCCGCCCAACCACCCCGACTATTCTCAATTAGGGGTTCGGGTTCACCCCTTGCTCTCTGCTGTTTTTCGTAATCGACACATAGACGACCACGTTTCACAGCAAACCACAGCTGAGATGGATTGGTGTCGGGTTGTGGGTCCTCGCGGCCTGTGCCGGCCGCTCGACGAAAAGCAATGGCTTCCAACAAACAAACCGCCCTCGTGCCCTGTAAGATCTGCTCGACGTGTAAACACCAACCCGCTTTGCTCGTAAAGTCGCTTAGTTCCGGCTCCATGCACTTTGCTAAACTGGAGTGACCGCAGCGGGCGGGGCGGGGCAGGGCGGCAGGGCGGCAAACCAGCACAGTCGGTCTCCATGATGGCGGTGGGTTTAGGGTTCCTTCTTTGCTGCCTAACACAGGCAGAAAGGTCATTCACAAAGCGGCGTTTACAGTTTTGGCTAAACCCTCCCTCACCGTTCTGACGGGACGCTCGGTCGGGAGCCTCGGTCGGAGCCTCGAGCGCCCATGTTAGTGGTCAGCGGTACTCTCTGCAGTTTGGGGTTGAGGGTGGAGATTTATTCAGGGTTGAGGGTTTAGGGCGTAAGGTTGACGGGTTTAGGGTTGTTGTAAGGTCTGATAGAAAGAAGGGGCTGCCCCTTAGGGTCCCATGGGCGTAACAACATTGAGGCAGACGGAAATAAATGCCCAGTAAGGGACTAGGCAAGGCGTCGGAGGGATTTATGGGGTTCTGTAAGGGTTCCATACAGCGTAGTGGCTTTTTTGGTGGCTTCGTAAGTGAGGTCATAAGTACCTTAGTTATTGGGGCTTACAGGTAGTCGTAACTATCTATAGTTATCTCATGTATGACCCTTAGTTCATACGCCTCCCCATCATTTTAAGTAGGTTTGAGGCGATGCTGTAAGGCTTACCATGCGGGTTATATTGTAACGGTGGATAAAGGTTAGGGTTTGGGGCTTAAAGAGCTTATATTGCGATGTGGAGGTACAGTGTTTCGGCTGAGGCCATGGGATAAATCGGGTTCATTGAAAGGCGGCATGCACGAACCGAGCCGGGGTCTGCGAGACTGGTACATATTGCGTTTGTTCAGGTCTTAGCCGTTGTGATTGAGAACCTGCTTTGTGGTGCCAGTGGTAGATCATGTCGTGGCATTTGTGCATTTCTAAATAGTGCAGGCTTTAGTCATCACGTATCGCCTGAAATTGTGCCCTTTGGATCGAGACGTCTAGCTTTCTTTCCGTCGTCTTCCGCGGAGGCAGCCGTGGCCTTCAACATCAACGCCGAGCTCGAGGCTGTCTGTTAGACATCGGTGTCTATAAGGGTTCCATGACAAGGGTTTGTCGTCATGTCGTATGAGGGCCTTAGCATTTGTTAGATTTGGGGCTTTGGTCTAGAAATGGGGCCCAGCTTTGTCCGAGCAGCGTTTCCAGACTCCGGAGTTGAGTTCAGACGCACTGGTATTGTGTTTATCATCGCTATGGTTATTTATTTGTTCTTTCTACGAATATTTATTTCAACTCTTGTTATTATTCTGAAAATTATAGTATTAGATCTTTCGCGTGATCATGGCCGAGGATTCTGCGTGCCGGCTTGAGGCACGAAGGCCCCAGGTTCACCACACAGCCTAAGCTGATGCAGGACCTATAGGACAGTGTAGGTCGCCACGACATTGTGGATGTAGGGGCCTTCATAATTACCTACACTATTATGGGTGTTCCTTATGATTACTACAGTACAATGTGGCCTAAACCCCTATTCTCATTATTAATGCCCCTAAACTACCCCATGTTGACACCTCGCCTTCATCAGGAGCAGAGATCAGAGCTTCTCCAATCGATGCAACAACTCGCCTCAGACTTAGCTTGTTAAGGGCTTCAATTTTAGTTACCGTAATAAGGAAACCACAGTATTTACTGTACTATAGGTCCCTATCATGGTAACTTAAATTACATTCCTTAACAAGAACCCAGCAGATATGGAAGCTGTCGGTCAACAGGTCATTGTTGTAGGATGGGTTCCATGCTTTCAGACAGTCCAATGCGGGCGGCGCCCTAGTTGCTTAGGTGCCGCCAAATTCATTGAATCCCAAAAGGGGGTAGCGTAGGTAACCTTTGACTCTTGGGGGGCATTATCATCCCCATACAATCTCAAAGGTTGAACCTTTCTCCTCCGCATACTTGACAATTCGCTGGTGCTTTGCAGGGAACGGGGAATGGTTTTGGGGACTATTGCTGTGGCTCCACAGCAGGGTCCGGGGCTCTGTAGAGTCTGGTGAAGTTGTATATGAAACTCCATGCACCCTAACAACGCCTGACTGGAGCCGTATTTGAAAACAGACCCCTTTACAAACTTGCAAACTCTTACGAAGCACTGGAAGCTTTATAATGCTGATCAAAGCTTCAACCCTAAAATCACCTATAAGGCCCTTAAAGCCCCCTGTAGAACCGCTTAGAAACCCCAAACCCCAGCTCTGTGCCTTTATTGAGCATCCTTTGACGTAGCACCAGAGCAGGCGACCTTCAACGCTATGGGGCATTATAACCCCTACATACTCCCAGAAGGTAAAACAAGCTTAACGTTTAGATCCCCCACGACACTCGACAACTAAGTTGAGCCTCAACACCAAACCCTACAACTTCGAGGCATCTGAGCATCAGCTGCTTCACGAGAACAGGGCCGCCTCGCTTGGTAAATGGCTTTGAGTTTGGGCTTCTGGGGTTTGAGGATTGTGGGGTTTAGGGGTTTAGGTTTCGGGGGTCAAGGGTGAGTGAAAGTATGAAAAGGTATAGGTTTCAAGGGTTCAGGGCTTAAGGGTTCAAGGGTTTTGGGCTCAAACGTTTATGGTTTGGGCCTCAGGGTTTGGCGTTTGCGTTTCGCAGAACGTCCAAAACCCCCCTCCGTGTGTCTCATCATTCCTTGGTATATGCTATGGGACTCCATTTCTACGGCGTCTATTAAAAAGGTGCACAAAATTCTGAAAACTCCCTTGTTCCATCTGTCAGAGACGCGGTGCAGAGACATCTAGAGGTCTCCTGTGGGTTCTGATCTGGAGTACTACATGTCATTGTGTTTGTCGGACCTGTTCCTTCAAGGAACCGCTATGAAATAAACATGTATATGTCGTCAGGCACCCTGCTTTTCTTGGTTTCCAACCATACCAACTCTGCGGGAGTTCGGCGGTTTTGAGCCAGATAGACAGACCCAGAGCCGAAAAAAACCTGACGGAAAATTCAGTAATAATTCTACCTGCAAATCTAGGAGGAACCTTAACATGATCCATGGCACGTTTCTTGAATTCGTCCCTTTGGAGTCTACTTGTAGGTAAGTCATGCCAATGTGTGGAAAAGAGTGACAAGACCATTCCCACGTTACCGGACTCTCAGAAACAGGGGACCCCGAGCTCTGAAGAATCGGGTTCTCGATGCATACCAAGTTGAAGTTGTAGGATGCTTCGTATGGTAGGATTCTCAAGCTGTAGCACCTAAACAAGGTATTCTCAAACCTTTACTCCCTCCCTACAAGCCCATTCGGGACAAGCAGACTCGCTAGGCCCTTCTCATCGGTTTCTTATCATGGTCAGCATTATCTGCAAGCTTAAGATGCACAAGATCATCATCACCATCATCATTCTCAGCGCCGCCATCATCCTCGCCACAGCTATTAATGTCATCGTCGTCATGATCACCATCGGCTTGGAAGGGTTCATCAACATCAACTACAACTACTAATTACTAGCCCATCATCATGATTTTCATTGTCATTCATTCGGGGGTTTGGGCATGTTGACTTACTGCAAAGAAGACATTCGTCTGCATGCATGTCTCAGAGCTCCGCTTCTTGGAACTCTTTCCTAACCAGGTCCATCGCTTCGCAGAAAATGTCGAGCCCAGCTCATGTGATAGTGGTCATGATGACGACGATGATGATGAAAAGAAGCAGATGATATTCAAGATGCTCGGGTCTCGATTTTAGGGGGTTTAGGGGATTGTTCGCACCGGACTCGATGTGTGCCTCGGCTGAGGAACTGGCAGAGCGCTGTGCAGCTCTGGAATTGGCGCCACTCACCCAAGAGATTATATTATATTATATTATATTATACTATATTATATTATATTATATTATATCATATTCTATTATATTATATTATATTATATTACGAGTGAAGGGACCACCAGGCTCCTGAGTAGTACCCTGTTGCCCTTTTTAGTTTAAAGGGAACTCCAGAAAGTTGGAATATGGTTTCAGGGTAGGATACCCTATAATTTACCATAAAGGGTTTAGGCTAATCATATTCCAACTTTCTGGCTTTTACTTTAGGGTCCCCATGTTAAAACCGAATAGTGAGAAAAGGGGGGGCGGGCTACTCAGAAGCCTAGACTAAGTAATCAGGATAGGGCTACGGGACTACATCAAATCAAACTCAAATGAGGAACCCAGAGGAACAGATATACTAATCATTCCGGCAACTGCAATGCATCATCGTGATTCCGTGAAGGCAGGCTTATGTTTTGGAGACCTCCAAATGGGTTATAGACCGTCAGATCTATCGCTTGCTGACTAAGTCCCCTGATGCCTTGTTTAAGTTGAGTGCTTCGAGATAGAAGGTCATCTGCAACTGCACAGTCTAGGACAACGCCATCCCAAAGGGCGTGAATGCATAACAACGGTCAGGCACCCCACTCGACAGAAAAGCCGTGGGCTCCTTGAATCTTGAAGCCGCGAGTAACAGAGCCCAGCCAAGCGTGAAAACTCATAGGAGGCCAAAAGGGGCTTTAACCTATGGGGTGTGGTGGGGATTAGGGTTCCCATAATAGGGATCGTATTAAGGAATCCCGACCCCAAGAATCTTAAACCCCCCTTTGGCCTCCCATCAGAAACCGCAAAGACCTGTAGCATCCACTGTTGAAATGGCTGTTCACCACCTATGATTGTTGCAGGTTTTGCTACTCCCAGTATAGCCCCAAATGTTGTCCTCCAGTTCTCCTAGGATACGCGACAAGCAGGTTTATAGTAGAATCCAGCAAGTTGGAACATCAATGTCCTCATGCCCATGAGGTAACTTAGTAGCTGAGTGGATACACTTTACACTTTGGGGTATAATCTTACCCACGATGAGACTGAAAGTGTACACTTTTGGAGGACTTATGAACTCAGCAACTAAGCTTGAATAATGGTAGGGGCCTTAATAAATGGAATAGGGTTTCGGGGGTATGTTATACTATAAGGTTTAGGGTTTAGGGCTTATGAACTCAGCAACTAAGGTAAAGGACACTCGATCCTTGCACCAGTCCTCCTAAGCCCATATTCCAACCTTCTCGGGTTCACTGCACTATACTCCTAGCAATAGCGTAAGTAACCTTTACAGTAAACCCCAAAAAGTTGGAAACGCGATTAAGGCCAAATAGTGCTGGGATTCCCTATACATTACTCTTAAGGATTGAGGCTGTGGGGTTTCCAACTTTTGGGCTTCTACTGTACGATACTCCTAGCAATGGAGTAAGTAACCTTTAACCTTTTCTAGGTAGTATAGCCCCTATACAACCCCTATACAACCAAAAAGGTTAACCTTTAAACCCCCCTACACCCTAAACCCCTAAACCCTATACCAAAAAGATTCACCTTTAGTTCCCCAGGATACCTGACAAGTAGATACTGCATTGAGGCATCTCAGCCTGAAGATTCGGTTCTCTCGCCGCGAATCGGCGCGGGGACCGCCGTACCCTGAAACCCTAACCTATAGTCTCCTTCCCAGACCCCCTTTGGAGGATCCAAAGAGTAGATCCCTTAACGGGGGTTCCTATAAAGCACCCTTAGCAGTGTAGGTCCCCAAATTATGGGATCTACTTTCTAGATCCTCCCGGGGGTCTGGGTTAGGAGATATTTTGTATTTTTGCTCGTGTAAAACCCGAGAGAGTATTAAACATCCGAAAGTCTGCTTAGGAATTTTTGTTGATACCCAAGAGAATATTTAAAGTAGTAGTTTCATTATTGTTCTAGGGGGGGTTTGGAAACCTGTTGGAGTTTGAGTAAGGTACCTCATTCTCGGAAACTCCCATATTGGAGTCTCTGGGATTATTGAGGCCCTTTCACGACCAGCATATAGTACCCTAAATAGTAGAAACCCTAAACCCCATGGATCCCCAAAGGAACCCTTAAAGGATCCCTTTTCGGAAACTCCCTACCTAGTAGTCGAGTGGGTAACCTTTAACCGTTGTTGGGCAGTATAGCCCCTACATATAGCCTATATAACCAAAAAGACTAATCTTTAGTTCCCATGACACCCGACAAGTACTTGGAGAGTCGGGGGACTTAGTAAGTAGGTAGTAAGTAGACTTATAAGTACCCTAAAAGGGACTCTAATTAGAGTTATGGTACTTATAAGTCCCTAAAATAACCAGTTACTAAGTCCCCCTAAACCCTAAACCCTATACCCTTACAGAATCCCTATAGATCCCTTTAAGGGGGCCTTAAGGAACCCATGGTGTTACTAAGTCCCCCGACCCTCCAAGTATATGCAGCAACCCAGGCTCCAGGAGAAAACATCCCAGGGCAAATCCAGCGTCTCGGGCAAAGCTGGGATCGGTTTTGCGATGAAGGGTTTGCCTTTGGGGGGGTTTAGGGGGTTGGCGTTTAGGGGCTTAGGGTGTTTAGGGGTTTAGGGGTTAAGGGTTTAGGGTTTGGGGGATATAGTCATGAAGCATTTCCAGATGTGGGTTTACTGGGCTCATGTTTCTGACCGACCGAGTCGACCGAGCCCCCCGCCCGCCCCCCCCCCGATGCAGGTTACAAGAGGTCTACCAGGGCTAGGTAAGGGTTTCTACAAGTCTAAGCCATTTACAGGTGGGTAGTTATTAGGTGGGTAGTTTCCCATAAGCCTCCCATACCACTCCTATAAGGTAAAGGGGGTCTTATGGGAGTACTATGGAAGAAGAACTACCCACCTGTAAGGGGCTTCTAACAAGGGTGCTTTCATACTACGATGGTGTCTATCAGTCTAGGCCTCCAGAGGTTTCGGGGTTTGCGGGTCTTGTGGGGTTTGTGGGTCTTCAGGTTGAGGAGTTTGGGGTTTGGGAGGGGGAGGGGGTCCCTAAACCTGAAAGACATCGATAATGATAAAGAACATTAATATTCAAAGTAGTAATGGGGATAGTAGCAATACTAAAAACGATTACTATGATACTGATTTTTGTTGAAAACCCGAGTTTGACTGGGTGGCTGTCTGAAAGTCGCCCCAGGTTTGCAGCAGCGGGTTGTGGAGCTGGAGTTGCAACTGGCCGAGTTTCTTGTCTGACAATACTGACACTACGTACTACAAGGGGTTCTACAAAGGGTCTACAAGGGTTGGTAAGGGTTCCTAGTAGCAGGGTAGAGAACTTTTTAACCTGTTTCGGCACGCCTTCCGCTAAAGACGCAGTCAATCTCACGTCGCGCTTTAACCTGTTTCGAGGCTATAACCCCCGTATAATATAGGGGCCTGAATAAATACCAATACTGTTTTGGGGGTTCCTTATTGTAAATATTTGTAGTATAATGGGCCCCAAAACCCTATTCTAGTTATTAAGGCCCCGATATTCTTTCCAAAGGCTAGCCTTTAGTTCCCCCAGGATACTGGACAAGTGGATGTCCGACATTATTCTGACTCTACTTTCGAAGATTCTTACGAATAAGGAGGTTTCCGAAAATAGGGGACTCTAATATAGTACCCCCAAATAGTAGGATCCTTATTATAAGGACCCCAAAATAAAGTACCCCCCATTTTCGGAATTGTGGGTTCTTAGTTTTGTTCGATATTATGAGTACCACTGACATTGTTGGTGTCGGGCATCCTGCTTCCAACTCCAGTTGTCTAATCTTGTTGGTGTTATCAACGATTGGTATCATCAGCGTTGCATCTTCATCATTCCCCTAGCCATGTTGTTGACGATAAGTTCTCCTTTCATCTCCCGCAAGAAGAACTGCACTTCTCAAACAGCTCTTGGACTTTAGGATTCAGGACCCTTATGCAACAGGGCTTTGGCTTCGGGCGCGGAGGTAAGGTTCAGGGTACTTCGCAAAGAGCTTTCTGAGAAGTCATGGAGGCTTCAGTTTAGGGTTTGGGGTTGGTTTAGGGTTTAGGGCGCTTCTGACAGAGTGCTTTTTGCATCTTGGGGAGAATGAAGGTACTTCAACTCCCCAAAGACTTGCAGAACGACTGCTGAGCTCAAAACAAAAAGCGCCTAGGGCATATAGTCTTTCGGCAGACAAAGGTGGAAAGAACAAACTCGCGGCCGCTAAGCCCTGATCTTGAAACCGTGTAGGGGTTTAGGGTTTAGGGTTTAGCTAGGAGTCCTTCATCTAGGTCCCGTTAGCCATTTTTCTTGTGGGCTTCCCTCCTTAAAGGCAGGAAAGAGGTTAGTCTCATTATTGTTAAGGCGACGCTGGGGAACCTTGTCATCGAATACAAGACATGGTAGTACAGGGGGTAACCTTTAACCTTTTTTAGGTAGTATAGTCCCTGTATAATCCCTATATACCCGAAAAGGTTAACCTTCAGTTCCCCATGATACCCGACAAGTAGGAAGAGAGGGTCCATGCTATCCTGGAGCCAGAACGTTATGAAGTCAAGCAGATGCCGAAGCCTGAACCCGAGCAGACACAGACGGATCGTAAGAATTCATAGTAATATCCCCTTATCGTGCCTATTTATATTAAAAAATACCCCAAAACCCTGTTCAGTATATACTCCAAAACCCTGTTCTAACTGCTGGGGGCCCTATGTTGAACCCGAAACACTAAAACTTTGAGTTGGGCGAATCAGGTTTGTACTCGGTGCTGCAGATGCCCCGCTGCCAAAGGAGGCCTGTCAAATACCGGGGCCTTACTTGCTGTTCTTGACTTTTATGGGGTTTCATAGGGTGTTCCAATATCAGGGCTTGAAAAACCGTTGCACCCCAAACCCTAAAACCTGAAACCCTAACCCCGCAAGATAGCATCTGGTGGCCGGTGCCAAATTACGCAGACTTTTCCTTGGATGATCGCACTTAGGAATCAAGGTCCTAAGTACCCTAGTTGGGCCTGCAAGGGCTTTGGGTTTTGGGGTTTAGGATTTAACATTCGAAGTTCTTGCTTTGTTGCCTAAGCCCAGTTTACGCTTTAGAGCCTTGTAGCAGAGTGGGCAACCTTTAACCTTTGTTGGGCAGTATAGTTCCGCTTGAAACCCGACAAATAGGAGAGTGTTGAAGGGACCCCACACATTCCAGGATGGGTTGATAACGGGACTGTTTGCGGCTATGATTTCGGGGTCTACTTATTGCGACTGAATGGTAGGTGAGAGGGTGCGCAACATTTCGGTGGCGGGAATACTGAAGAACTTTATTGCTGGGGCTACTGCTGCTCCTACTCCTGCTGCTCCTGCTCCTGGTACCCCTCCTCCTGCTCCTCCCATCCGTATACACGCCCTGCCTAGCTTCGTTTCTGGGGCTTCCGATCTGGCTACTTAAAGGTTCATGGGACTTAGTAACTACGGTCATAAAGAAGGTAACTATACTTATAATTGGATATAACCCCAGTTAGGGTACTTATAAGTGTACTTACCAAGTCCCATGGACCTCCAAGTAACCAGGAGGGGACGAGATCGAGTCATCCAAAACTTGGTTTGCTCTTCAGGGTCTCCGGGCAAGGGCTCCAAGTGCTTTCTGGCGCATGGTGTAGGGCCATATTGGTTTAGGGTTTAGGGCCATATGGGTAGTTGTCAAAATTAGGGTCCCTTTTTGGGTACCTTAAACATTAGGTGCCGTACTATAATAGGGACCCAAAAAGGGACCATAGTTTTGACAACCAGCCATATTGCACTGACAGCTGTTCTTGGAAGTTGCACGCCGAGTTGGCTGTGTGAAAGGTCGAAAGACCCGAATCATACTCTACGATTCCATCTACACAAGGCAAGTCTAACTAATGTCCCTCGTAGTGCCCGAAAGAGTGACTAGTACTGTACAGAGGCTCCGATATTGGATCAAGCGCCTGAGCTTGGAAGTGGAAGTAGTTGGAGACCCGAAACACCCGAGTCTGAACCCTCAAACCTTGAAAACGAATTGAAAACCTACGCCCGCAAAACCTCGAACCCCCAACCGTAAATCCTGAAGGCCTCGCAGAGCCGTGTGGAGTTGAGTAGCTAAAGAGGTGCATCCAGCTTTGAAAAGAAAACAGAAACCCTAAGCCCTAAACCTGGCTGTTAAAGCCTTGGGGATGCTCAGAGGGATGGGCAGACGCAAAAATGAGCTTTAAAACAACTTAAACCCTACATCAAAAACCCTGAAATCCACACAGTCTATACAGCACTCCCTAAATCCCTAAACCGAAAGCAGTGAAACCCCCCAATGTAGGGGCCTTAACAATATGAATGGGATTTTGGGGTATACTTTGCTATATTTCAAAAAAGGAATCCCCGAAACCCTTTTCTAATTCATAAGACCACTACATCTTTGTACCCTTATATATCCCTTACATTACCACTTATAGACCCCTTTACAGGAACCCTATTCTAACTACTAGTAGAAGCCCAAAACTTGGGAACCCAATAGCCTCAATCCTTAAGAGCAGTGTGTAGAGAATCCCAGCACTATTTGGCCTTAATCCGATTTCCAACTTTGTGGTGTAGAGACCAGAGCGTCCCTCAAAGCGCTTGGGAGGTTCAGCAGGAGCTCGAGACGCTTCGCCAGACTTGTCAGGAACTCGCCGTGCGGGCCGAAGAGGCTTTAGGGTTTTAAGGGTTTAGGGGTTTAGAAAGAGGCGGTCGAGAGTCCAAAACGGCTCTATGATCGTCATGAGCGGGCTCCATCATGGTGATAGTATAAGGGAGAAAGGGTTCTATGATGGTTGTAACATGAGGGCTCTATAAAGCTCATGATGCACGGGTTCTACTATGGGCACAATTATAGAGTTCTATAATGGCGATAGAATTTGATGTTTCTATACTGGCTTTTTTGCAACAGTGCTACAATGAAGGCTTACAGAATTTCTCTGTAGGGCAGAATGATTTAGGGAGTAGGGTCTACAACTGAACACTTTGAGTTTTCCTTGTGCTCTTCAGAGGACCTTAGCTATGTTTTCAGAGGCCTGCAAGGGCCAACCTTGTTTATAGTGCAGGGGTCGGAATAGTTGATTAGTATAATATACCCCTAACACCCTATGCCAAATAAGGCCCCTAATTTAATAGCGGCTTTCGTAAGCGTTCCCAGATTCCTAAACCCTAAAGCCCTCCTCTTTGAGTTGGTCGGAGAACGGCTTTAGAGTTAAGGGCGCAGCTTGTGGTTTCGGGTCTGCGGTTTCGGGGTTTCGCGTTCGGGCTTTAGGGGTTTAGGGTAGTCAGGAGCTCCAGAGAGAACAAACGAGCCCCTAGGGGTTCTTGCGAAGTGTTCAGAAAACAAGGGGGCGTAGCATAGACCCTGGAACCCTATCAAAAGGCTTCTACGGGTGGGATGAACGTGGGTAGGGTAATTGATCTCAAGAGTCCTTATGCGAGGGAACCGTAATCCTACCTACCTTCATCCCACCTGCTGAGGCCCCCGATAGAAGGACACGGAAAGATTTTATCCTAAGCAAGCCACTCGTGCCATGAGCGCGCAGCTCAGCACAGCTGGTCAGTAGTTGAGCATGACGGCTTAAGATTTTAGGGCTTAGGGGTTTTGGGTTTCATGTTCCAGGTTTCGGCCATGCTGGCTAAGCCGATGTTGTTGCAAATCTGGTGAAGCTGACAGACACTTCACTGGTGTGTTTGTGCATGTGCATGTTGGATCTCATTGACCTGAGCCCTAAGCCCTAAATCGCTTCACACGGAGAGCCTAACTAAGAGGATTCGAGTTTAAGGTTTGGGTTCAGGGTTCACGCTAAAGCCGCAGCAGTCCGAGCCGTAAAAGCATGAAACTGTCTCTCTCTCTAGACCGAAACCCTGAACGATCGCTTTACTCCTCAAACTGTGCAGGCTGCAACGAGCACTCCCCAGTATGCCCTGCAGCGCATCGAAGATCTCGAGGCAGCGTCTTAATGGCTGTACTTACGGTTTGACGGATTAGAGTTTCTGGCAGTCTTTGTCGGGCTTCTGAGGGGATACACAATGTTGTTTCCGACTGCTCTAATGATCTTATCTGGGTCTGTATGCGCCTTCGATGGGAATTACAGGGTTCTCTACGGGACTTCATGAGGCATTTGGGTGTTCTCGTAGAGGGCTTTGTCTGGGATTTAGAGTTTCGTTTGTAAGGGAATTGCGAGGGGACTTAGTAAGCACTGCAACGGCACAACCCACCACCCTCGTGCGCACTCAACAGTGTTTGGGCTTTCAAAATTCCGGGCATCGTAGAGCGTCCGAGGCCTCGGCCGCTACATCACTTTGGGCCGCAAGAAGCCCTGCTTAAAGGATCATGGGACTTAGTAAGTAGGGTTGTAAGAAAAGTAACTACAGTTATAATTGCTTATAACCCCAATTAAGGTACTTATAGCCCTGCTTGCTAAGTCCCATGATCCTCGAAGTATCGTCGACGTAGCCCACGAATCTTAGAGCTGCGCTTTCTATACGATGCAAGTTTGCCAGAAGCCGGCGGAAACCAGTGCAATCTGGCCACCGCGCTAGCAACAGCTTCAGATCTCTTTGTAGGCAAGACCCCTAAACCCTAAACCCCTACACCCTAAGACCCTCAACCCTACACCCCTAAACCCTTAAGCCCTAAGCCCTAAGCCCCTAAAGCATCTTGACGCGTAGTCAGTGTGGCGGATGTAGGGCTGAGGGCCGTCCAGCGTTGAATGTCGCTTTCCCAGACCCCCTTTGGAGGATCCAAAAAGTAGATCCCTTAATCGGGGTTCTTATAAAGTACCCTTAGCCTTAGTAGTATTGGGCCCCAAATTAGGGGATCTACTTTCGAGATCCTCCCGCTGGGTCATTATTCCACTACTGGTCCAGGCGCAGCTATCCAGGTCTGTGCTGTCGCTTCCCCAGCAGACCGGTACTAGAGGGATGGCTCCGTCGCTACATGGATTGACAGTATGAGGGTCAGCATCCCTGTTACAATGACCTCTAGATACCGTATGCATAAGTTTGAGAAATCTCGTGATTTAAAGCCCCTATAAATCCCGTCAAACCGTCAAACCCCTTCTAAAGCTCTGTAGGAACCCTGGCAAACCGCTTACAAGACAGCATAGCTGGCATTACGTACAGCCCTTCGACAAGTTCTGGGATTTGGGACGGGAGCTGCAATATGCAAAACTGGACTCATGTTCAATAGGGATCTTGGTAGTAAGTCTCCAGATCCTTATTGTAGACTCCTAAGAGTGGTTTCTATCAGGGTCACTAGCAGTTCAGGGTTTGAGGGCAGCGGGTTTCTGGGTGAGACTTATCATAGGCATCTCAATACCCATGATAATCCATGTGCCCGGTAAAGACTCGCCCCGATCAAACCCAAAACCCTGAAAATCATGCCCGTGAACCTTGTCGACTTCTAGTTTCAGACTAATATGAAGTAGGGCTTATATTACCATTTTGGTGAGTGTAGATAGGGCTCCTTTTGAATTTTGGTGAGTGTATGTATTGGGTTTTATTATGGGGATACTAGTAATATAACCATACTCTATATGAACCTGAAAAATGCGTACTGGCCCTTCTAGAAAATTCCAAAATACCCTTAGGATGGACATGCAATATAGGGGTGTTAATAAGCAGAATAGGGTTGGGGGTAATTTAAACTATAATCATAATAAGGAACCACGAAATAGTATGGGTAATTATTAAGGCCCCTATACTAGATCCTTACAATAGCCCTTATAGTAGTCCTTCCAGACCCCTTTAAAGGAACCCTAATCCCAAAAACGTATTCATATTTATTTACGCCTTTATATGGAACCCTGATAGTAAACCGTCTAAAGGAACCCTATGAAACCCTAGCCTTATAGTACCCTTAGGACCCCATAGCACTATTCCTTCATGTAGGACCCCGTAGTACTAAACCCCTGCAATAGCGCTTGTAGTAGCCCTTATAGACCCCTTTAATTTAAAAGAACCCTATATAGAATCCAAAGAACAGGTAGGAGTCCTCAAGAGTCCAAGTTCCAGGATGCCTATTACCCTAAACACAACCGTACCTTCGCCAAGGCATGCTGGTCCGGAAGAGGACTCGCTGAAACTACCCCTTAGTGGCTGAATAATCTACGGGCCTTAATAATTACCTATACTATTTCGGGCGTTAATTATTATAGTTATAGTACAGAGGGCCCCAAAGCCCGATTCTAATTATTCAGGCCCCTATATTAGATAGCCTTGAACCTTGTGGCTTATATGTTAGAAGCTGCCCCCACCCTGTAATAGTGGTATAATAGGAATATAATAGGGCCCTAATATAATCCTATATAATCCTTATAGTCACTATTACAGGGTGGGGGCAGCTTCTAACTTATATGGGTGGTTGTCAAAGTTTAAGGTCCCTGTTTGGGTCCTTATTGTAATACGGCACCTAGTATTTAGGGTACCCAAAAAGGGGCCTTAATTTTGACAACCATCCATATAATCCTACGAGAACTCAAGAGGTGAACCTTTATTGTGCTAGGGTACGCAGCCCGTGAGACCCGAACGTCTGGTGATTCTCAGTGCGCTTCTTTGGTGGTTTGAGGTTTAGGGCAGCGTGGTGTGTGATCCGATTCGGGTTCTTGCTTCTTTGGTGGTTTGAGGTTTAGGTTTCTGCTTCGGGTTCAATCGATATCTGAAATGAACTCTAGATCGCAGGTTACGCCTGTGCATAGCACGTCCAGTGACATTTACGTGGTGTTCTCTTGTCGGACATCACACTCTGTTCAATGAACCTGCAACCGCCCTACATGGTACTGTGCGAGGTGTAGCCATGCTCGCTGCTATGTTCCCATGATAGAGCCCTTCCGTATAACGAAGTCACGCTACTGACATGCAGCTGTAATGAACCGCAGCATCCGTTAAGATGTGCCAACCGTCGGGGCACTTGTTGCATGCCATTGGGGCTTATCCTCTGCTGCAGTAAGTTGCGCTAGCTTACAACATGATGTCTGTAGAGTTTGCTCCTGCTTGGTTTCTGGAAAGTGCCCTCCACTAATGGTGTTTTTTCTACATGGACCTGTTGCTTCATGCTGGCTCCAAGTCCATGCTTCCGTGGATGTACTTCATGCCCCTGGTTATTCCACTCCTTGTTGTTGGGAATCTTGGCCTGTGTCGTACTGAAACATACCTCGCGGCTATCTCGCCTGCCGCAGTGTTTGGTAATCTGCATGCTCATCCCGAAGCAGGTGCTGACACCAACGCACACTCCTGGGCGCAATCATATACATATGAACCGTGTGCGGGCGTATAGATATAATTACACATGCATACAGACAGATATGTGTGTATGTGTATATATATATACACCTACGCATAGATAGAGAGATGTAGCTGCATGCATATAGATGTGTGTGTGTGTGTGTGTGTGCGCATGTGTGTGCGTACACTTGCTGGTTGCTTTTCTATATGCAGGCACGTCATGACTTCGCCATGCCTGACGAAGTTCCAAGATACGCAGATTGGTATCTGTATACGCATGCATGCACATATGTATATAATACAGAGAGACATTTGCGTGTACGATGAGACCGGACAGACAGAGAAGCAAAAATAAGTGCGTGCGGCAGGTACACGGTGGTTGCTTTTGACATTCTTCCCTGCCTAGACGCTTTACCCCGCAAAACTCTTAGTATACTAAGCCGAACTCCCGTAAAAACCAGCAGTTTCTAAACGCCCTAAACCCTTCGAGTCCTAATGACCCTAGGACCCTAATGGCCCTAAAGCCCCAAACCCTCACAAGTTTGAGCCAGATAGGGGCAGCTTGCAAGTTCATGGGGCTTAGTAACTAGGGTTCCTTAAAGGGCTCCTTTAAAGGGATCTATAGGGTTCCTTAAAAGGGATCTATAGGGTTTAGGGTTTAGGGACTACTTAAGGGTTCATGGGGCTTAGTAACTACGGTCAGAAGTAGGGTAACTATACTTATACTTGGATATAACCCCAGTTAGGGTACTTATACCTGTACTTACTAAGTCCCATGAACCCCCAAGAGGAGAAGCTACGAAATCGCTGCACGCAACTCGAGGGAGAGTTGCTCACAGTCCAGGAGGACACGCGGGCGTCGAGGAAGAAACTTAGTGTAGGGGCGGTAATAATTGCCTATACTATTTTTTTTGGAGGGGGGGTCCTTATGATATTTATAGTATAATGGGCCTTAAAACAACATTCTAATGATTCAGGCCTCTATATTAGAACAAAACTTGCACGGTTTAGGAAGGAACTTATCGGGAGTTTGGGCTTGGCGGTTTGGGGTAACTTTGGGTTTGTTTAAGATTCTTATACAGTCTTTGCAAGGATGTATTGCTTAGGAACCCACACGGGGCTTATAGGGTCTGGTAAAGGTGATAGAACGGACGTATAAGGTTATTCTTATGAAGCCGTGTAGAGGGGTTTCTAGGGTCGGTCTAGAGGACGCATATTATGCCTAGCAGGAAGGATCTTAAGGGTTCTTATAAAGGCTTTTATGTCTTTTGGGTTGTATAAGAGACGCTGCGGATGTACAGCGTTCTTACTACACCCGATTTTGGACTGAGGGTTTCAGGGCCGTCGGGGACACGCAGTGCATGAAGTGATGGGTTACGAGGTCACCCCCTAGTACCCATTTTTCCAGGGGTCCCGGTGTCAAGCATTGCAAAGAGCGACCGAAATGTTTAAGCACATGCTGGACAACCTAAGACCTAAACCCTAAAGCCTTTCCTAAGATGCACTTTGAAGGACCTGGGAAGCTCCAAGAGAGAGGCGAGGAGCGCCAGGGAGGAGGTTGGCGAGCTGCGGCAGGACCTTGGTCTTACGGTGAGAACGATCAACGACGACTACTGCCGCTGCGAAAACTACTACTACTACTATTACTACTACTACTACTACTGCTACTACTACTACTACTACTACTACTACTACTACACTACCGTATCTCTCCCGGCATCTCCCAGCAGTAACTTGGCTGGGTACCGTGTGTCGGAAGCGATAGGCGGTGGAGCAGATCATAGGTGCGGTAGCAGTAGCAGCAGCACTGACAGTATGTGTCTGTGACAGTCCCTCCCACGTTGTCCGTCACTGTCTCACGTTAATGCAGCCAGCCACCTCTTCGATAAGTCACATTTGTTCAGCTCGTCAATCTTTGGGGCGATGAGGAGTTGCAGCGGGCAGAGGGTGAATCCGAGCGCCTATGTGACGACGTTCGAGCCGGCGAGGAGACTGCAGAAATCCGCGAAGAGGAGCGCGTTGGGGTCTTTAGGTTCTGAAGTAGCAACCTATTGCCCTCCCTGTTCGTATTCGGGGTCTCTTATGTACTACTGAGAGGTAGGACAGAAGGAGCTCTAAACCCTCGCCACATGACGTACGGAAGGATTAAGGTCGATTCCTTAGCTCCTACTTTCTGTTGAAGGTATGTGTTGGGTCGTACAACCCTGCACCCTATCCTAATCCCTGAACCCAGGAGCTGCGTAGCTTGCGCGTGGAGGTGCGTCGACTTCGCAAGAAGCTGGCAGAGAGCTGACCTGGCGGCGCAGAAGGCTCCCTGAGCTGTTCCGTTTTAGACGATCAAGACACGTAATGTCATTCATGTGCGTATGTATACATATACATGCATACACGTATGTATTCATTATACGGTCATGAGTTTCATTGCTGTTCATGTATGTTTTTTTCGCTTGTTCGTGCGCGTTTGCCTGATGTAGTTTACTGGCCCAATGCCCGTACAGCCCCACCAGCCCCACTGCAAGGGTACTACAGTATACCCCAACACCCCGGTCTTGATTGCAATAATTGGGCACCCTTTATGGTGCGCGAAAGCAGAGGCATGTGCAAACCATCCCCCAACCCTAAAACCCTTAACCCACACCGCTTTCTGGACGTTCAGGCAGATAGAAAAGGGTCGTCTAAAAGAAACCCTTGACCCAAACAAATGCAGGATTTTGCAGCTTGCCAACTATATGCCTTGGCGACGGCAGCAGTGCAACCGCCTCACCAGACACACGAGGAGGTTGGGCAACGTCCGGATGTACTGAGAATGAAGACACAAGGGTTTTGCGGCCCATCATACTATAATTACATTAAGGAACCCCCAAATAGCATAATTAGGTAATCATTTAGGCCCCTACAACGAACATATATGGTCACGCGCTCCGCAGCCCCCCCCCCTTTCCCCCCCAAAGCTCAATAGTCCGGATATAGGGTGGGGCCCCCCCCTCCCCTGTGGTGTGGGGTGTTGGGTTCCTCTTCCCCCTGTGGGGTGGTTGTGGGGTTTTGGGATTTTGGGTTTAGCTTAAGCTTTTGAGTTTGGGGTTTACGGTTACAAGGTATAAGGCTTCGAGTCGACAAGGGATTAGGGAGGATTTGCGGTGTATGCTCTGCTTTAGGCTTAGAGCCTGCAGTTAGGTGGGGTTTAGGGTTGGGTGTAGCGTTTTAAGTACAAGTTAAGGTTGCTCAAAACAGGGGCACGCGCTGCCTCTTGTAGGGTTTACTGCTTGCTTGCGAAGGGCTTGCGCGTGAGCCTGGCCGCCAGCACCACCCCACCATCCGGTGCTCCAACGGCCCCCAACCCCTTCCGCACACGCCACCCCCCCCCCACCCCTATCAGACCATATCATTGGGGGGGGGGGGGGGGGCTGGGAACGCCAGACGCCTGACCATATATACATGCTGTTACATGCACACATGTTGTTTTCATAAAATAACAAGAAAATGGCAGTAGCAATAAATACGATAATAACAAGAACAAAATATGTTTGTGCGTGTGTGTGTGTGTGTATATATGTATCTATATTCAACAACCCTGAATGTGCAGGGGAGTGACAACGCAGACGCCGAGCCTTAGAAGTTCGTGGGCGTGGCAGCGAGAAGAGCAGCAGGCATGGTTCTCGCTACGGGGGATCTGAGTTGTAGGGAAGTTCCATAAGGATTGTAGTCACATGTTATTACTTCATAAAGGCGGCTTTCGGTATTTGCACAACGAACCCTACACTCTCAAGCCTTCAAGTGTGCTGCTGTCAGACCCGATCAGGCCGTCATTTTCCAGGAGCACAGCTGTCGGAGACGTGACCTTCGGGCCAGGAACATGATGCAGAATCAGAAGTGCAATTTCTGCACCCCGGCGCGTTGGGCCGCCCTCGATGCAGCATGCAAAGAGTGTGCAAGCGTTCACGCAGAGTTCCTGTGTGCCAGCATATGCCCGAAACTTCCCAGAGCTCGAGCTGCGCTTTTTGGGAAGATGTACCATAAACATGCTGATCACGAAGATGAAGGGAGATGTGACGATGTCATGCTGCCAAGCAGTCGCTCGCTTTGGATGTCACGGAAGTCCTGCTTGATAGTATATTACAGTATATTAGAGTATAGTATAGTGTAGTATAGTATTGTCTTGTATAGTATATAAATATACTGATCATGCGAGTTGCAGAAGTGAGGCGCAGCCTCCGCGATCTGACAAAGCTGAGCTGCTATATGAGGTAGTTGTCAGAATTAAGGTCCCTGAATAGATAGGTGCCGTATTGCAACAGGGACCCAAAACGGGACCATAATTTTGACAGCCACCCATATCGTGACAATATCACTTGGCAATAGTAAAATTATGAAAATCTTGTATAGTGCCGTCACTGTAGTCCAAACGTGGTATGTGACTGTGCAGAGTTCCAGTGCTGCCGGCGCAAAAGACGTGTCCTGTCAACATCCTTGCAATGCAGCAAGCATTCTCCTGCGCTCAGAACCCAGACCCACGGGAGGATCCAAAAAGTAGATCCCTTAATGGGGGTTATTTTGAAGTGCCCTTAGTAGGATAGGGACCCAAATTAGGGGATCTACTTTCTAGATCCCCCCGGGGGTCTGGGAATGCCATAAGGAATGCGCAGCTGAGTTGCAATGGGGTTCTGCCTACGGCCTGCACCGTAGTCTTGCCAGCTGGAGAAGCATTGGGTACGGCCCCCACTCAGTAATAGTTGAATAGTATTCACAATATAGATATATCAGGACTTTGATAGAGACCCTATATGGTCCTACTATAGACTCTTACTGAAAGGTGGCCGTACCTAAGAGAAGCACCTCAAATCTTCGACCGTGCGCGCATGGCCAGAGAAAAGCTGGTCACAGCCCAAGCTGCAGAAGGCTTGTACACCGCATTCCTTACCTTTGGTTAGTAGGGAATGGAAGAATGGGGCACAATTATAACTAATATTACTAGCATTCTTCCATTCCCTACTAACCAAAAGGTAAGATTCTCGGTGTTCCATCCTGCCCTTGCGCAGGTCTCGAAAGAGTTTGGGCACAGCAAGGTGGGCAGGGGGGCTTGTGATCTCATCCTCCTTTGTGGGGACCTAAGAATCTGAGGTTCGCAACTCAGGGGATCTTCCCTGCGGGTTGGGCGATGCTGCAGATTTCGCTGCTCAGCCATTTGTAGCTATTCAGACCCATATGCCCTGTACCAAATTCGATGCTGCTCAGTAGTACCCTTATTCCCTTTTTGTAGTCCTAGGTTCCTTATAAAGTTACCCAATACCAAAAGGTAGCCGCTTTTATTCCTAGCTTACTGGGCATCCTAGAAGTCAGAAACCATCATGTAAGAGCCCTTGCCTTCATGCCTAAAACCCTAACCCCATATTCCCTAACCTCACAGACGGTATCCCCACAAGCCCTATTGTCATTATTGTCAAGACCCCTAAACCAAGCTGTAGAAACCCTCCTGGTAGAACCCAAAGCCCTAAGCCCTAAACACTCCTTATCGAGCCCTTACACTAATCCCTAAAACCCTAAACCCTAAACCCTAAACCCCCTCTTCCCTAACCCCACAGCTGCACATCCTTTCCAGGTGGCAGGGCTGCTCGTGAACTTAGATCCGAGCAGTCCCAATGCCTGCATCCCGGAGAGGGGGAGAGGGGGGGGGATTTGGGAGTTTCCGAAAATTGGGGGGGTACCTCTTTTAGGATCCCTATAATAAGGATCCTACTATTTGGGTACTATATTGGGGTCCCCTATTTTCGGAAACTCCCATTTGGGGTTGAGAGTAGGGTTTAGAAATGGGGCGGGGGGGCGGTTCCGCAAGTCAGGAATCTCCCTGGGTACTTTCTGGGTACCGCATTACGAATGTAGAAGCCTCACTAGCTTTGAATGCTTGTTTATGGGGTTCCTAGTTACACAAAGAGTAACTATTGTCTGGGCAAGGCCCGTATATTGCCCTTCAGCCGTTTGTATTTTTGGGGGCTGCTTATGGAAGCATTGAATAGTAGGAAGGGTATCCTTGTTAAGAAGGGGATGCTTGGGGGGGGCATAACAATCAAGTGATGAAGGGTCCTGACAATCTAACAATAGTGTTCCCTCATGGGCCCTACGTGCCTACTCCAACAATCGCCTCGCAGGTCCAGATAATCTGGCCCTGTGTTCGGGACAAGCCTGCTTTGCTGTTTCTCTCTTCCCAGGCCCGAAAGACCTACCACCTAATCCCTATCCCAGGAGGATACAAGGGTGCATCCGGCAATACAATTATCCTTATCCCAGGCCAATACGGTGAGCCTCTTCATCAATGGAGTTAGAGCGTCACAGCTCACGCCTCAGCGAGGGGAGTTTCAGAAGCCTCGGTGGCTCTTCAAAAGAGCCCTGGATCCTAGATCTTCAGCTTGAGGCATTCTCGAAGAAGGGTTCGGGGATCAGGGTTTCGCATGAACGAAGCAGTGTTTGGCACAACAGCAACAAGAACAACAGCAGCAGCACAAACAGCAGCAACAGCCACAGGCACAGCGACAACGACAACGGCACCATCAGCAACAGCAACAACATCAAGAAGAACAAGAAGAATAGCAAGATCAACATGATACCGAAAGTCGGAAGAATACACAAGCAGTTGCATTGAGCCTTTTCAAACCCCCCGTCTTAGGCCACAGAAGCTGCCAGAGTCCATGCTCGGCAAGGCTGGTGGAGCGCCTCCCGTGCTTTCGGAGTCAGCCCACGGATGAACCAATAAGTAACCTTTACTTAGGGGTACTTATAAATATTTTGTTATTTTTGGTTATTATAATCCCTAAGAAACAGCTAAAAATGTAATTTTTGCAAGGGTTCTAAGTGCAGTATAGTTTAGCTCCCTTACGAAGCCGAAGCAGTTCCGCGAGCCGACAAGCCAGGGTATGAGTGCCGAAAACCCCACCAGTGTACTCCTTGCTCTGTCATCGTTCTACACTCTACTATATAGGGGCCTTAATAAGTACCTATACTATGTTGGGGGGGTCCTTATTATAGCTATAGTATAACGTGCCCCAAAAGCCCTATTCGAATTACTAAGGCCCCTGCCTATATCATAGTACACCTATAGATCCTTAGAGCCCTTTAAAGGAACCCTACAGGAACCAACCCTATGAAAATTTTTACGGCCCCTATATTACAAAGAAGCAGGCAGTGTTTCCCGCGGTCACCTTCCGCAACGTCACGCTGCAGGCCTCTTCTTGCTTGGAAGACAGGTATGGGAACAGATAGTATAGGGGCCTTAGGGTCAAGGGTTCCTTTAAAGGGGTTTTTAAGGGCTACTATAAGGGGTACTTAGGGGTTTAGTATAGGGGCTTGAATAATTACCAATAGTATGTTGGGGTTCCTTATGATGATTATAGTATAATATACCCCACAATATCTACGTATCGATGCCATCGCCAGTAATGTTGACGTTTTAGTGGGACCTCTATGTATCTTGGAGCCTACATAAGCACAAGTGTGCCGACATATCTACCTGCGTACCTGCAATCGCCCTATACGAACATCTACGAACTATATGCTTGATGTGCTAAACGTGCTGACCTTCAATGCACTTCGACGGCCAGCATGAGAGTGCATGTGCAATGCTCGACCGTCGAATGTCCACGGCGAGCGTATATGGCACTACTTAGCTGAGTGTGCATCTTGAGTGTTCTTTTGAGACGACCAGCAAAAAAATACTTTTGGGCAGACTAGCAAAAAATCCTAATAATAAGCAGACTAGCAACAGAACCCTACTTTGGGGCAGACTAGCAAAAACGCCTACATCATGTGACCTTGTGAAGATGCGGGTGGTTGTCGAAATTATGGCCCCTGTTTGGGAACCCTAAATAGTAGGTGCCGTACTATAATAAGGACCCAAAAAGGGACCCTTATTTTGACAACCACCCATGTGTTTAGGAAAGTAGTCCAGGAGACAGCAAGGCTGACGATCGGTGGGGTCGTAAACAGATGCTGCCAGTGGTGTTGTTGGGGGTTTAGGGTTTAAGGGTTTAGGGGTTTTGGGGGTTTGGGGTTTAGGGGTTTAGGGCGTCATGGTTTCATTTGGGACGGGCCTGTCAGACACAGCTGTGCCTGTCTGCAAAGACCCTTCACGCGGGGGCCCTATACCGCAGCGCCCTAATCGGAAGCTGTAGTGAGCAACCCCAAAAAAGCGGGTTTTTCGGTGCCCCACCATACCTTTGGTTAGGAGGGAATGGAGGAATGGGATACAATTTTAACTGCTATTACTGCCATTCTTCCATTCCCTACTAACCAAAGGTAAGCCACAGGTCTTAGAAGACCCTGTGCATCACTCAGTTTCAGAGGTTTAGAGACGTGACTCCAGAGTCCTCAGCGTCGAAAGCAGCATGGTGTATCGCAAGGTTGTGCTGGTGGTTCCGATGTTGTACCTTAGCCACAAATAACCTGCCATTTTAGGGACTTATACAAAGAAATCATATTCAGGGGCCCGAAAAAGGTAGGTTCCTTAGGGTCCAGGTAGGCTTCATAGGGGTCTGAATAAACAGAATGAGGTTTGCAAATTTTTTTAGACACCTCCACGCATCACCTTCACTCGCTCCAGCTAAAGCCTTATGCATTGACATCAACTCTTGGCCAAAGACCGGGATGACATTGCACAAACTGCACACACCCCTGAATTTGGGCTCGGGGGCGATTTGGGCGTCTGAATCATCGGTAACATGTCGCAGCCCGTGCATCATAATGCCCAAAACATACTTATCCTGGTCCTAGTAGTAGAGTAGGTAACCTTTCACCCTGTTGGGGTAGTTTCTCTAGTTTTGGAAATTCTATTTTGGGGTATCTATCTTAGATGCTTCATGTTCAATCTCCTACTACACTCCCCGCAGGTGCACTTTGGCGCAGCGCCCTTGAGGCCTTCGCGGTTTACTCATAGGAGGCTTTGGCCTATGGGGGTCTAGCAAGGGATTCGGGTTCCCATAATAGGGTTCATATTAAGGAATCCCTACCCCAAGAATCTTAAACCCCCCTTTTGGCCTCCCATCATTTACACAGTTTAGGGTCCGGGAATGGAAGCCAGCAGAAGCCTTGAATACGAAAACGAATTACAAAGGCAAAAGAAAAAGAAACCACGCGAAATCGCTTTATGGTGGTTTTTGCGAAGAAAAGAAAACACATCTGCTGAAGTCCGAAGAAAGCTTGGTTGTTCAGTGGACGCTTTTTACTTTTCTGTTTGTGGGTTCCGAACATAAGAGATATTGAAGCCCAGCAAGTACATGCTGTCTCCAAGTGGGAGAAGCACCTTTGCAGATGCTGAGCTTCATACTTCCGCTTAACATGCGCAGCGGGAGCATGGGAGAAACACCAAACAACGCGTGTTCTTCAGTATCATACATCAGCATGAAACCCCAACTGAAAAGGTGTTGAGAATCGTAAACCCTACACTCTACCGTAAACCCCCAAACCTAAACCGCACCTTTAAAAGCTCTGCTGTTCATCTCAAACGCTGAGCCTTCCCGAGGCCTTAAGCCCTAAACCAGCCGGTTTCTGCTATATAATGCGCATCGTGGCCCGCAGACCTGCTTTTAGCCGCACCGTAGTAGTAGGGTAAGTAACCTTTAGCCTCGTTTAGATCCTTTGACCCTTGTTTGATCCCAAAATACTCCCAAAGGTTAAAACGACAAGTGGGGCACTGTTCAGCGACAATCCCAGAGCTTTCAGGGGTTTCTTTAGTATAAGGTCTCCTGTTGAACGCTCCAAAACATGGCCACATTTGGGGTCTTGATATTCCCAGAGACTCCAATATCCCTTCATTCAGGAATATACCTTGGACCTTCAGTAATACTTGGGATCCTACTACATTTTCTGGCATATTCCGTAATTTACGGGATATGGGAGTCTCTGGGTTAGTTCCTCAAGGCCCCTCGTGTGACCGTAGGATACACGCCAAATCCCCGATCCAAATACGAAGGCCCAGAAAGTTCCCAGGCCCATAAAGCTCCCTCCTTCAATTCCACCTGGTTTAGGGTTTAGGGTTTAGGGTCTAGGACCCAGAGTAGGCCCTTATTCCCTTTTTAAGGGTTCAGGTTCCCTTATAAGCCCCTTTAAAGCAAAAAGGGCACCCTTTTTATTCGTGGGTTACTCTTGGGTCTAGTAAAGCTCCCTCCTTCAATTCCACCTAGTAGTAGGGTAGGTAAGCTTCAACCCTTTTTGGGTAGTACAGTCCCTACATAACCAAAAAGATTAACCTTTAGTTCCCCATGATACCCGACAAGTAGGTCCATAAAAGCCTCTGAAACCTGCATATCAACGACGCATGACAGCCTGTGTAATGCAATGCCAGCTTTTTCGCGACCCTAAACCCTAGGATGCCCAGTAGTACCCTTATTCCCTATTTTTAGTCCTAGGTTCCTTATAAAGTTACCCAATACCAAAAAGAGAGGCCTTTTTATTCTTAGGTTACTGGGTATCCTAGAACCCTAAAAAACACTTGAAAAATGAACCCAAAACCGAAAAGCCGGAACCCAACTCTGCAAGCAGACGCTCCCAGGCAGCTACCGTTCAAGTGCCACACATGGCAGGAAGTGCAGAAAGCGCACAGTGAGGCAGGGTTTGGAGTTTGGGGTTTAAGTTTTGGGGGCTTAGGGTTTAGGGTTCAGTTCCGGGGTTCCAGGGGCTAGACCTCTAGGGCCTTAGGCTTCAGGCCTGGGTCTCCTTCTGGAGTTTATCGCCCCGCCTGATCTTGACCTTCTGTTCTCGAGGTGGTTTAGTTTACAGTAAACCCCATAAAGTTGGAAACCGGATTAAGGCCAAGTAGTGCTGGGATTCCCTATACATTACTCTTAAGGATAGAGGCTATTGGGTTTCCAACTTTTGGGCTTCTACTGTAGGGTGAATGGTATAAGCAAGACTTCGGCTTAGTAGCTGAGTGGATACACTTTTGGGCATAAATATTACCCACTATGAAGCTGAAAGTGTAGACTTTTGGGGGGCTTATGAACTCAGCAACTACTTAGAGGATCATGGGTTTTAGTAAGTAGGTTATAATTGGAGTTATAAGTCCCCTAAGTGGGGTTATCCTAAATATAACCTACTTATAACCTTAGTTACTAAGTCCCATGAGCCTTCAAGTAGGTAGATTCACATGGTAATGGAAGGAGCCCGGATCATGACAGCCATATGGGAGTTTCCAAAAGTAGGGGACCCTAATATGGTATCCGAAATAGTGGGATCCTTATTATAAGCACCCCATTATAAGGTACCCCTAATTTTCGGAAACTCCCATATCTGCAAGCAAAGTCGTCTTACGGATGGACACTGTCCGTTACGAAGGCTCACAAGGCTAAGCCCTAAAAACCCACTGTTTCTCGCCACGCCATGTGTTCCCTCAAGATCAAGGTCTGGATGTCACACCTGTTGACGAGGATAACTGGACTCTTGTTGCGGAGGTTAGAGTTTAGGGCTCAGGTTCAGGTTACCATCATAAGGATCTACAGTATCCATCATGGTTTCCGACTATGGTGACTTTAGTTAAACTCCTTACGGAGCCCCGGATGAAAGCGGTGACCACGATCATGGTAATGGTGGCGGCGAAGATACTACCACGATGTGATATGTGATGACGATGATGTGGCGGATGTGAAGATGAGTAGCAGACTGCTTGTTGGATTGCATCAGGGCGTGCATGACCAACCCTGAAAACTGGGCACGAAAAACCACACCCTAATGCTGGACCATAGGCCCTAGCACCTGAGCCCCAAAGCCTCAACTGTAAATCCGCGAATTGGATGCGGTTGCTTCGGAACAGCAATGGCCTTGAATCCGAAAAGACCAGGTCAAAGCATCGCCTGCGCCCAAAGATGGCAAATACCAGGCCTGGCGATGCTTGCAACTTACCTTTGGTGAGTAGGGAATGCAGGAATGGGGCACAGTTATAACTACTATTACTACCATTACTCCGTTCCCTACTAACCAAAGGTAAGAAAGGAGTTGAGAAGGTTGCTTTTTGGGCAATTGCATTTGCATTTGTATGAGCAGAAGTACGATTAGTAAACCTAGCAATGGTCAGTATGGCGTGTGGGGTCATTCTGCACGCTGCCTGAGGCAGGGTCCCATCAGAAGCTTTCCGGCCCGAAGTGGGGCCGGAAGAGTTCGAAATAGCATTCCGCGCGTGTCCTCAATACAAGTAGAGTAATGCAGACCCCTGATTGATCGAACCCGCTGTTACGGGTTCTACCATTCAGATCCTAATCTATCTAACCCCTCTAAAGGGGAGAGTGTTCAATCATTCCGGGGTCCCTACACCCTCAAGTCGGAGTTTCCGACATTAGGGGACCCTAATATAGCACCCTAAATAGTAGGATCCTTAGTATAAGGACCCTAAAGTAGGGTACCCCCAAATTCTCGGAAACTCCCAAGTTACGAAAGCCGAGAGAAGCCAAGCCTCTAAACCCCAAGCCCCTACACCCAACCCCAAGCCCTTAATCCACTTATCCCCCCCCTTTCCTTAAGCCCCTAAAACCCGAAGCCCCTAAGCCCATAAACACCTAACCCTAAACCTATAAACACCTAACCCTAAACACCAAACACCTAAACCCCAAGCCCCTAAACCCGAAGCCCCTAAACCCATAAACACGTAACCCTAAACCCTAACACCTAAACCCTAAACTCCAAACCCTAAGCCCCTAAACCCTAAGCCCCTAAACCCGAAGCCCCTTCTTTGTGCAAGCCCAAATTGGGCAGGGAGTCGGCAGAGTGAAAGTCCCACTGCACCCTAAAAAAAACGAAGCCAGGTGCTGTTGCCCGTGGGTCTTCCAGACGAAGCGACCTTCGACTGGGTTGACCAGTTCTTGTCCAAAAACAAGCTGGGCGCTCAGGGTGGAGCTTAACCCAGACCCCCGGGAGGATCTAGAAAGTAGATCCCCTAATTTGGGTCCCTATACTACTAAGGGCACTTTATAGGAACCCCCATTAAGAGATCTACTTTTTGGATCCTCCCGGGGGTCTGGGAATAGAGGGGCCTAAATAATTACCAATACTATTTTGGGGGTAGTATTAAGGAGCCCAAAACCCTATTCTAATTACTAAGGCCCCCATATTACAGATGTGGGCGAGGGCTTCTAAAGGGTCGATGCGCTTATAAAACGGGTTGCTACGAAGGTTACTACAGCTCTACAAAGGTTACCATGAGGTTACAAAGGTTACCATAAGGTACTACGAAGCTTACCATAAGGTTACGGCTTTCGGGCTTCCGAGGCTTCGGTCCGTGGGGCTATGCCTCATGAAGGATTCGCCGCAAAAAGATTTGAAGGTTTGTTCGCCGAAGAGAATCGAGGTTTAGGTTTTAGGGTTTAGGGGCTTGGCTTCTTGAGGGGTCCCGAATATAATTTGCGGGGAATGCCTTAACCACGGGATAACTGGGAGTTTCCGAAAATAGGGGACCCTAATATAGTACCCTAAATAGTAGGATCCCTACCATAAGGACCCCAAAATAAGGTACCCCTGTTTTCGGAAACTCCCATAGCTGGTTTGTTGGATTGTTCCTGCACCAAGCAGCCTGAGTGCAGCGGACGAAGCTGGGAGGATCCAAGACTTAGCCCAGAGGCCTGCGTGACTAGCAACTAATAATCCCCCAATACCCTCAATATATATATATATATATATATGTATATATATATATATGTATGTATATATATGTATATATGTGTATATCTACATATACATACACCCTTAGAATCCTTATTGTGATTTTTGCTGCCCCTGTAGCGTGGTGTTTACGAGTACGGAATAGGGAACCCAAAAACCCTTGTCTTAAGGCTCTGCTGCAAATGTCCTTAAAACTATTATGAATACTACTATTACTACTACTACTACTACGACGACGACTACGACTACTACTACTACTACTACGACGACGACCACTACGACTACTACTACTGCTACTACACGACGACGAAGACGACGACTACGACTACTACTGCTACTACTACTACTACTACTTCTACTACTTCTACTACTACTGCTACTACTACTACTACTACTACGACGATTATTGCTATTACTGATACTATTGCAACTACTATATCAGACCCATACTTGCCGAGTTCCCAAATGCTTCTCAAGGGTTGTGTTTAAAGGGCACCTGGAGGGCTCCCTCATCTAGTAACAGCGACAACAACAGCAGCAGCAACAATAACATTATTGTTATTGTTCGTTTTTTAACATGTTTCGCAAGAATGATAATGATATCAACTATTTTTATGACCGTTATTGTTAGTAATTTACTTGGTTTCTCTTTTGTGTACAAAGGGTTCTACAAGGTCGCTGCAATTTTTACTACGGTTGTCCTGCACAGAATATGAAGCATGCTTAATATCGGGGCCTACATAGTTAGAATAGGCTTCCTTCAAAAGGGCCTATAAGGGCTACTATTATACGGGTTTGATGTAGTGGCCTAAATAGTTACCAATACTATTTTGGAGGCTTCTTATTATAGTTATAGTATAATGGGCCCCAAAACCCTATTCTCATTATTAAGGCAACTATATTACTTTTCGGATTCTTTGAGCCGGTGTGTATTTTTCTAGGCCTAATCAAGCATTGCTGGTCTAGTGATGCCTCAGCCAAACTTATCCCTAAAACCCTAAACCCTGAACCCTAAACCCTAAATCCTCAAACCTAAACCCTAAACCCTGAAACCCTGAACCCAAAACTGCCCTACAGTAGGGTACTATAAGTTACTATAAGGGTTCCTTTAAAGGGATACTATAAGGGTACTATAAGGTACTATAAGGGCATCTTGAATCTAGAGTAGAAGCCCAAAAGTTGGAAACCCCATAGCCTCAATCCTTAAGAGTCATGAAAAGGGAAACCCAGCACTATTTGGCCTTAATCCGGTTTCCAACTTTATGGGGTTTACTGTAAACCCTAAACCCTAAACCCCTAAACCCTAAACCCCTAAACCCTAAACGGCTACAAAACCCTAAACCCTAAACCCTAAACCCCTAAACCCTAAACCCCTAAACCCTAAACGGCTACAAAACCCTAAACCCTAAACCCTAAACCCTAAACCCTAAACCCCTAAACCCTAAACCCCTAAACCCTAAACCCCTAAACCCCTAAACCCTAAACCCCTAAACGGCTACAAAACCCTAAACCCTAAACCCTAAACCCTAAACCCTAAACCCTAAACCCCTAAACCCTAAACCCCTAAACCCCTAAACGGCTACAAAACCCTGCCTCCCCCAAACCCAAGACCTGAAGCCACAAAGGAACTACTTGGAGGGTCGGGGGACTTAGTAACTATAAGGGGTTCCTTTAAAGGGGTCCTTTAGAGGGATTCTATAGGGATTCTATAAGGGTTTAGGGTTTAGGGGGACTTAGTAACTGGTTATTTTAGGGACTTATCAGTACCATAACCCCAATTCGGGTCCCTTTTGTGGTACTTATAAGTCTACTTACTACCTACTTACTAAGTCCCCCGACCCTCCAAGTAGACCTAACCCTAACATCCAAAACCCTAGCACCCCTGAGGAACTACACTGAGATTAGCGACCGGTCGATCCTTGACTGGGCGGTCACTCTGGCTTGGCTTAGGGGTTCAGGGCTTAGGGGTTTAGGGTGCAGGGCTTTGGGGTTCAGGGTTTAGGGATTTGGTGGTTTAGGGTTTAGGCTGTTTTTTTGAAGGGGGGGGGGGGGGGGGGGTTAGGGTTCAGGATCTAGAACCCGGGGGATCGCCTGAAACTCCGAGCGCAAGTAGCCTTTGACCTCTTGGGGTCTATACAAGTCCTATCATCATAGGAGGCCAAAAGAGGTTTTAGCCTATGGGTTTTAGTAGCGTTTCGGGGTTCCCATTATAGGGTTCATATTAAGGAATCCCAACCCAAAGAATATTAAACCCCCCTTTTGGCCTCCCATCATATCATAATTCAATCATAGCCTTTGTTTTCCTTACTACGGCTCCTGTTATTTTAGGATTCCTTATAATTTTCCCTAAAGGGGTTCCTTTCAATGTTCCTTATGTCGGTTCCTTAGGGCCAGGGACCTCCGCAACTACGCCCCAAAGCATGCGAAATCCCTGTCCTCGCCAGAGCAAAAGTGGCCTCCAGCGATCGGGTGGCTATTTCAAGAGGCCAGCTTACGGGTTCTGATAACTAAAGTTTATGGGTTTAGGTGTGTTTTGTTTGGGGTTTAGGGGGCGGTTTAGGGTCTATGGTTGCATCGTATATCCATTTTTTAAACTCAAAAGCATCAAAATGTAGGAACTGCTTGGGCTTTGTATCTATCCCTACCCTACCCTACCCACCCTCTGCCCTACCCTACCCGACCCGACCCGATTCTACAACAGGGCCCAGTATTTTACTGATGATACGGCTAATGACTTTGGATCTCTCTGACAAGAGGGGCCTACTTAGAGGATCATGGGACTTAGTAAGTAGGGTTATCAGTAAAGTAACTAGAGACATAATTACTTATAGCCCCAATTAGAGGTACTTATAACTGTACTTACCGAGTCCCATGATCCTTTAAGTAGTAAGCCTAGTATCAAAGGGGAAACGGGACCGACCCTTAATGAGGACCCCTAGGTATATACCCTTGATATAGCCATTATATACCCATTATATGGCCCATTATAGGGTAGGGGTCCCCATTAAGGGTCCCTCGTTTTACCCTTGGATGACAAGAGGGGCCTAGTAAGACACGTCGCTCCACCAGGAGCTGCAGTAGCAGGCAGGCCTTGGCCGCGGACATTTGACGATAATGTAGAGGTTGGATACTGCCCCCACTCAGTATCAGTTGGATAATATTCAGAATATAGATATATTAGGCCCTTAATAGTAGCCCTATTATAGACTGTTAGTGTATGGGGGCAGTATCCAATGTAGAGGACTGAAGAAGTAATGATGTGAGGCCTTAGGATGACTGTGGCGGGGGATCGTGATAATTCGCACATGTCGCGGACTATACACGCAAAAACCTTCCGTCAAGTCCTGTGTATTACGATGTCGCCATCTGTGTACTCTTTGGGCGTAGGGTTTTGCGCTTTATAGGCACTCGCGAGGATCCCGCGTTTTCCTTTGGCGCCGTGTGTAGTTGAACCGAAGACGGGACGGTCCGAGATCTCCACATGGGTGCTCCAAACTCGGGTCAGTCATTGAATCGGTACACATTCACACCTAGGTGGCAGTTTGGGAAACTTTTAATTTCCCTTATGGTTCCTTTAGAGGTACCTAGTCATAAATACTTTTCAGGGCCCCAAAACTACAACCCAGACACTTTGCGGGAGAATATTCCCACAAATGAAACCAGAAGTGTGCACCTTCTTGGGCTTATGAACCCAGCATCTTCGGGGTTCCTTATTGTACGGTTCCACACGGGTGCCCGCACTGTGTTGGGGACCTAAAGGGAACCCTAATTTAGACAACTGCCCACGTGTCAGTGCCACTCATGATACCCACCCCCCCCTTTCCCTATTGACTCGGGAATTGATTGCCCTAAACCCTAAACTATACACCAGCGATGAAAACCTGCACATCCCCGTCAAAGAAGCGGGTCTCCGGCACAGCTGTCGGGAGCCGGGAGATTCCCCAAAACTCTGGCAGTCTGAGAGCCCAGCAAAGAGTACCTTACAAGAACCCTGGTAGGAATCGCTGAGAGTGTAAGGGAACCTTTAAACGGGTACTGTAGGGTTCTATGATAGGTTCTCCTTAAAGGCTGCTATCGGGTTCTTGAATATGAGGTCCCCCTTTAGAGGAACCCTCTCCCGGAATTCTGCGTCCAAGAGTGATGGGAGCAGCCTTGTCCTTTTTCATGGTTCCCCCAAAAAAATAAACAGACCGGCTAGTAGACCTTCTTAAATAATTCCTACTAAGGGATATAGGTATATGGCTCTGTCTATTGTTTCTAAAAGGACAAGGGTGGATGGGAGCTTCCGATCCTTGGAGGACCTCGCACGATCACCCCGAGATGCATTTCGGACTTCCGCTGATGGACGAGGCTTTGCTGCACCTGGCTGCATCGCTAAGTAAGTACAGTTATAAGTACCCTAGCTGAAGTTATACTAGGTAGGCCTTTGGGACATTCTATATATGTTCCCTTACTGGGCTTAGTAGGACCCTGTTTACGGATATGTCTCAGATGCTTTGCTGCACCTGGCTGCAGTGCTATCTTCGGAGCAGTCCTCCGCTCTTGTTATGGAGCTTCTAGATAGGGCTTTGGGACATTTTAAATTTTCCCTTTTCGGGCTTAAGAGGATCTTATCTACTAATATTTTTGAAAGGTTTTAACAGCCCCACCTAGGCTTCATTTACGATAGTAGAACAGGGGCCCATCCTGTGTACTGCACCCTACTAGGTGGCAATTTGGGAAACTTTTTGATTTCCCTAAATGCTCCAAAAGAGGTACCTAGTCACAATTACTTTTCATAGCCCCAAAAACTATACAACCCAGTCCATTATTGCTGGGGAGACACACATTTTAGAGCACCCGGTCCCTAAACCCTAAACCCCGGTGATGGTGTCTACAACTGAGTTCCGCAACAGCTCGGGAGCCCCTGAACGCCCTGAGCCTCAAACCGCAAGACCCTTACCCAGAGCCTCCAAAACCCCTTAAAGGAATATACCTTAAATTATAATAGGATCCCTAATATGATTTTAAGGTATATTCCTTTGATTAAGAGGTTTTGGAGGCTCTGGGTACAGGCTCAGTATCATAGAACCCTATTCAAACCCTTAAATGAAAAGAGCCCTTAATCCCTTAAAGAAACCAAGAGTGTGCCTGGGCACCCCAAGCGGTTTGCATACCGCCAAGGACTACAGCGTCAGCAAAGTTTCGAGCTAAGAGTGCCCGAGTTTCAGGGGTGGGGCTCTGGTGCTTCAGGGCTGTAGGATTTGAGGGTTGAGGGTGCCTTTTAGCTGCAAGCTGCATCCTGAACTGCTGATGGCTGAAGTCCTGTATCATCTAGGATGCCCAGTAGTACCCTTATTCCCTTTTTGTAGTCCTAGGTTCCTTATAAAGTTACCCAATACCAAAAAGAGAGGCCTTTTTATTCTTAGGTTACTGGGTATCCTAGTTAGGGTCCCTCAGATAGTGCAGGATCTGGTCCCTCCTGCACCCGAAAGCCCACAACCTCAATAGGATGAGACCCTAAACCCTAAACCCCTAAACCCTACTTAGAGGATCATGGGACTTAGTAAGTAGGTTATAATTGGAGTTATAAGTCCCCTAAGTGGGGTTATCCTAATTATAACCTACTTATAACCTTAGTTACTAAGTCCCACGAGCCTTCAAGTACACTGCACACCCCAAACCCTAAACTGAAGGTGCTGAAAGCCTTCGCCACAGTTTTGCCTCGGAACTTCATCATTGCAGAGGCCTTTGCCTGAGTGCGTGCTTTCGCCTAGTAGTCGAGTAGGTAACCTTTAACCTTTTTTGGGGTAGCGTGGTCCCTACATAATCCCTATACAACCAAAAAGGTTAACCGTTAGTCCCCCATGATAACCGACAAGTAGGTTACTGGCTGCTCCCTTCAACGAACCTGTCATGGTTGTGAGATTTAAAGCCCGCGATAAACACACTGTGTGATGAAAAGTGCCCTTCTTATGAGAGACTGCTTCATTCCGTAGAGTTTCATCTCATCTCGTACCTAAATTGCCAGTCAAGTCTATTGTGGCAGATGGGTAAGTCTACATCAGTCTGAATAACCAAACCCCACCTGCAGACGTCTTGCACCCCCCCTTCTTTCTATGGGCAGGTGAGGAACAACCTCTTAGCTGATGAGCGACAGAGGACACTGGCGCGCTTTCCCAGCCACTGCTACACCAAGGCGACCCATGCATCGCTGCACTTTGGGTTGAGGACCCTTAAGAGTTACCCAGAGAGCCCAATACCCCTTAATTAAGGAACATAGCTTAAATCATAAGATGAAGCCCCTTATAATTTAAGGTATATTGCTTAATTGAGGGGTCTTGGGCTTTCTGGGTAGAGTACTTAAAGGATCATAGGACTTAGTAAGTACGGTTCTAAGTAAAGTAACTAAAGTTATGATTACTTAGAACCCCAATTAAGGTATTTGTAACCCTACTTACTCAGTCCCATGATCCTCAAGTAGCGCTTAGGGGAGATTATGCTATAGTTTCACTGACAGTGAAGAACCCTATGAAAAAAAAGGTTTCAGAAGAGTGGAAGATAGGGTGGTTTAGGGTTTCGAGGTAAGGAGTTTGAAAGTCTGCTATCGGAAGCTCTGGCTGCAGAGTTGAACTCGGTGCCGATTCGGGATCATGTCTGATTTCCCTTATTGCATAAACATGGAGTCCTCATTAGAACAATTGTGGGGACTGTTGACATCGACACCTAGTGAAAGGTGTGTGACTTGCAATCTTGTTGGTTTCGCTGATGCTGCTGTTAGATAAATCCTTCCACCCATACCATTTAGCAATTCCGGTACCCTCCTAGCCCATGTATAACTGCAGTATGATGCACCTTAAGACCCTTTGAATGACTACTATGATTGGAACTGTTATCAACATTCTGACCTGTTCCCTGAATTTTTTGACCAGCGAGTCATAGTCATTCAGAATGCCTGCATCAGTGTTGTTCTTTCTGACTAATCACTTCCTCCGTTTATTACACACCACCCTTAAACACCATCCTAATAGTGAAAACACATTGGGGCGAATCCTCCCGGAATCATCCCTGCCCTTTAGAAGCTAATCTGAATTAGGGGGTGCAAGAGCAAGAGCAGGAGCATCAGCAAGAGCAGCAGCAAGAGCAAAGCAAAAGCAAGAGGAGAGCGAGCAAGAGCAAGAGCAGGAGCAAAGGCGGGGGCAGCAGCAAGAGCAGGAGCAGGCGTAAGAGACGCAACAGAAGCAGGAGCAACAGCCAGCGCCGGAGCAAGAGCCAGAGCAGGAGAAAGAGCACGACCCCTCAAAAGCGGCAGCAGAGATAAAAATACCACCAAATAACAAAACTAAACGCTTTTCGAGTTTCTATGGGTGGGGGGGGCCGTTTAATACCAGAGGAAACGATTAGTGCTGTCGTCACGACCATCATGACGATCATGGCTGCCTTGGCACTAGTGCTACAGTGTACAGAGAATGAACTCCACGGCAAGGACGACGAAATCCAACACCGAAAACACATACCCAGCTGTATACCATTAGCACCACGGACTCGAAATTTGGGTTTGGGCGCAAGGGCCCAGTGTGCAGATGTTGATTGCAACCTTGTGAACTCCGGAACTGGTCCCAACAGGAAGTGCGAGTGCTGGTCGGCGAGCCAGCTGCCGATTACAAAACCTTCATCCAGCAAGCGCTGGCCTCGGCTGAGGAGTGATGCAGCATGCGAAGCTGTTACTGTAGAGTTCTAAGCTGGTTATAGTAGACCAGACCACCAGCCCCTATTGTAATTGTTGAGGCCCTTATGCGAAATCTTAAGAACCATTGTTGTGAAAGAACCCGTAAAGGAATCCTATCCTAAGTACCGAGGTATGTCCTGAGAACCCGTATGAGCACTATAAAGTTTAGGGCAGATACAGCTGTTTCTCAGAGTCGGGAGGTCCTTCGAGGCATACTTTCGGTTGTAGAGGATCGGTTCATGTCGGAGCCCTCAGAAATAGAATATAAACATATTCAGCACGGGGAATCCTAAGGAAAGCAAGACTAATCATTGCTTGCACTGGTTCATTCCGCCCGGTATCCCGATTATAGCTAGAGTGTAGTCTACCCCAAAACCCTACTCTAAGTATGCTCGAGTCCCCCTATTCTCTTGCGTAACCAGCGGAGGTCATGCTGAAAGACAAGAAGGAGAAAGCAGAAGCGGAGGCGAAGAGAAAAAAGGCACCGCACAGCGCGGCGGGGAGGGTTTGGAGCTCCACACCTCCGAGTGTTGAAGAGACTTTAACGAGTGTTTGGGGATGACCAATTCCCTACGAGGCGCAGGCTCCTAAACCTTAAACCCTTACTTCAGAAGCCCCGACAAAGCCCTCACTGAACCTGCACACCCCTTCTATAAACCTGCAGAGCCCTGCATTGTCTAATATAGAGGCCTGAATAACTACCTGTGGATTTTTTTGGGGGGGGTTCCTTATTATAGTTATAGAAAGATGGACCCAAACCCTATTCTAATTATTACGGCCCCTAAACTATAGTACGCTTACAGATCCCTTTAAAAAGGAACCCTGCTTTAATTATGAAGGCCCCTACATACGAACAAAGGGGTATTGGCTGCATTGGGAATTCCAGGCGGAAGCTGTCGCCAAGCAGGCGGAAGAGGAGAGAAGAAAGAAGACCCGCACTCAGATCAGCAACGACCACAAAGGCTTGAATAAGTAAGAATAAGGATGTTACGAAACTTGGTAGGAATTTACAGGGTTTAGCAGTTCAGGAGTATCTCATTACTTGCCCTCCGGGTCTCCTGGCACGGTGAACACAAGACCTTGTCCTGATTCTCCGGCCCTGTACTTGTTTCTTAAATCAACTAGGACCCAGAGTAGGCCCTTATTCCCTTTTTTGGGGGTTCAGGTTCTCTTATAAGCTCCTTTAAAGCAAAAAGGACACGCTTTTTATTCCTGGGTTACTCTTGGGTCTAGTTTCTTAAACCAAGGCACGCGCACTCAAAAACCGAAAAGAGACCCCAAACAAAATAAAACCCCAAGCCTGAAACCCAGATCCCTCAGCTTAGTAGCAGAGCATGTAACCTCCAGCTTGGCCGGGCTTGTCTAACGCCAAAATAGTGCCCAAAACTACCCTAAACCCCCAAACCCTAAACTACCCCAAACCCCCCTAAACCCCAAACCCTAAGGAAACCGATAGCGGAAGTTTCTCAGAAGCCCGCTCTTTTCGCCCCCCTTTTCCTGAAGTGCCGCCCGCTTCCCCGGACGAAGCCCAGGCGCCTGGAAGAACAGAAGCAGCGAGACGAGGCAGAGAAGGCTGGTATCCAGAGATCCCCATACCCTTAAATAAAGGAATATAACTTAAATGATGGGGGCCTTAATATTATGACTTACGGTATATTCCTTAATTAAGGGGTAGTGGAGGGACCTAGGGCTCCTTTAAAGGATCTATGGGGTTAATTCAGGAGCCAAAGAAGCATGTCCCATGGTCTTGTTGGTATCTCTAGACGAAGCAGAGAAGGCTAGTATCCAGAGATCCCCATACCCCTTAAATAAAGGAATATAACTTAAATGATGGGGGCCTTAATATTATAGGGCTCCTTTAAGGGATCTATGGGGTTAATTTAGGAGCTAGCTGCAGGCTCCAAACACTTTCAATTCCAGTTTAGGGTTGAGGGGTTTAGGGTTTAGGGTTTAGGGGTTGCAGCCCTGACCCTTAAGTGTAATCCCTATCCCCCCGAACCCGCTGACCCGAAAAAAACCGTTCACCCCTAAAAGCGCCCGAAGCCCCTTGAACCCTAAGACCGTTAATCCCGAAACTGGCCTTGGGTTTAGGGTTTAGGGGTTTAGGGTTTAGGGTCCTTCAATTCCTCCTGTAGTAGAGCAGGGAGCCTTGAACCTTTTTTTGGGTAGTAGAGTCGCTATATAACCAAAAAGATTAACCTGTACTTCCCCATGATACCCGACAAAAGTAGGTCCCGAAACCTCCAAACGCCCGCAGGACGGAAATGGAGCAGAAGGAGCCTTCCCCCCCTGGATGTCAGAGACTCCAACATCCCTTAAGTAAGGAATATACCTTAAATTATAGTAGGATCCTTAATATGATCTAAGGTATATTCCCTAATTAAGGGATATTGGAGTCTCTGGATGTCAGAATCTTTCGGAAGTCGGGGAGTCCAAGAGCGCCTAGAGTTTAGCGTAGATGGCTTCTTGTTCTAGTTTTAAGTTACCATAGCAGGGATCTAAAGTGTGGGTGGGTTTCGCAAGGTAAGGGCTTTTGCAAGGGTTACCGTAGGGGTTGCTGTAGGATTTCGGATTAAAGAATGTAGTTAAAAGTTATCCTAGGTAGGAGTTTATAGTAGAAGACCATATGGCTTCCGCATTGTCGTTACTTAAGTTACATTCCTGAACAAGAACCCATAGGTCGAGGTATAGGATTTTGGTGTTCGCTTGGAGGATGGGACTTTGTAGGTAAGGCTGTATTTACCTTGATTGAGGCTACAGGTGTTCAGAACTCTAGCTGGCTGGCTTTTATATTTATAATGTTTGGTGCTAAGCACCATGGTCCTTTAAGAAGGATTCAGGTTCAGAGCTGGGATGGGGAACAAAATGAGTGGTGCGGCCTCTCCTAGGCTAGGATTCATTTTGAAGTGAGCCTGTAATACATAACATACGATGGATGATAAATGCAATATGTAAATACTGCAGCCTGGTATGTATGTATGTATGTGTGTATATATATATATATATGTCCTATACATCTGTAGATGTATACATATGAAAAATGTAGAGTCTGATGTAGATAGGAGCAGAGAGGAGAAAGGACCCGAGCCTCGGAGAATCCGACGAAGAACTAGGTCTTCGCGAGCCGAGTTCCGAAGCCTGAGTCATTCGTAGTTCTATTTGTTGCTTGACAGGCTTTTGCCAGGGCGTTCGGGCCATAACTGTACCTCTATATTTAGGGTTTAAGGTGTAGGGTTTAGAGTTTGGGGTTACTTTTTTCTATTTGTTAGCATTCCTTGTTCTAATTGTACAGTAAGCCCCAAAAAGCTGGAAACCTGATTCCTGACAAATAGTGCTGGGATTCCCTATACATTACTCTTCAGGATTGAGGCTATTGGGTTTCCAACTTTTAGGCTTCTACTGTAGTTTAGTATCACACAGAGGCCTATTGCTTAGAAGCTGCTCCCACCCTGTAATAGTGGTATAACAGGAATATAACAGGGCCCTCATATAATCCTATGTAATCCTTACAGTCACTATTACAGGGTGGGGGCAGCTTCTAACCTATTGCCATCATTAAGGCCCCTATTTGGAACATCTCATGTTCAGCTGCAGTGCTATATGGGAGTTTCCGAAAATTAGGGGTACCTTATTTGGGGGTCCTTGTAATAAGGATCCTACTATTTAGGGTACTATATTGGGGTCCCTTAATTTCGGAAACTCCCATATTTTGTTCCTACATCAGCAAAGGGTGAAGCAAGCACCTTTCAACCGGTTGGCGATTCTTCTAAGCTCGAACCAAGTTAGATAAAGCCCTCCAGGGTCTCAACCTCGTGCAAGGAGGAGAGGATGGGAAGGACAAGGACGAGGCGATGGAGGAGCCGGAGGAGAAAGAAGATCCGAAGGAAGAGGAGAAGGCTGGGTTCTTGCTACTTAAGGGATCATGGGACTTAGTAAGTAGGGTTATAAGTAAGGTAACTACAGTTCCTGTACTTAATCGGACTTAACCTAGTAGTCGAGTAGGTAACCTTTAACCTTTTTTGGGTAGTATAGTCCCTATATAATCCCCATATAACTAAAAATGTTAAGCTTTAGTTCCCCATGATACCCGACAAGTAGGGTTCTTGTTAAGGGCTCTTATCGTAGGGATCTATCTAGAAAATCGTAGGGTTTCTTTATTCAGGTAACTTTCAATTAAATCCCGTACGAGAGCCCAGAAGCCGAAGCTGTGGGAGTTAAGGCTGAATTTGCTGGCGCCGGTTTAGGGTTTAGGGTTCATGGTTTAGGGTTTAGGGTTCAGGGTTCAGGGTTTAGGGTTTAGGGTTCAGGGTTCAGGGTTTAGGGTTTAGGCTTCAGGGTTCAGGGTTTAGGGTTCAGGGTTTAGAGTTTAGGACGGTTGCATCTGTTGGAATGGCGGGCTCGGTAGCATTAGCTGGTCCATGGGGCCCCTACGGTTGATGATATAAATCCTGCATTACCTTAAAGACCCGAGACTGTGGGAATTATGGTATATTCCTCATTCTGGGAAATGCTAAGTCCTAATCCCTGAGCACCCGCTTTCAGCGAAGTGGGCGCAAAAGATGTCACATCGATCCTAACTAAGAGGTGACCCCCCTCCCCCGCCTTTTGCACGAGGTGCAGGGCTCCAACCAGAAACCCTAGTTGCACTAGTTATTACTGCCATGATCAGAATACTGCTCATAATAATGCTCATGATGGGATTATTACGAACAGAAGCAATAGTTCGAGTAATAAACATGCCAATAAGGATAGAGTAGGAGCAGAGCCCAAACCTTTTCTCTGCACCAGGTCGAAGAAGCCAAGGATGAACCTATGGAGGAGGCTCGTGAAACGCTCCTAGGGGTCCAGGGGTTCATGAGTTTAGGCGTTTAGGGCTCAGGGTTGAGGGACTCGGAAACATGGCCCCTGTAGTCCCTACATGGTGATAGTATAGAAGGCCCCCCCACCCTGTAGTAGTGACTATAAGGATCATGCTGATTATTAGGGTCCTGTTATATTCCTTTACAGGGCGGGGGGGGGGGGCCTTCCAAGTGATAGTATAGTATACCCAAAACCGTTGAGGCCCTTCTCCCTGTACTAACATTTGTAGCTTATACCGGCCCTTATGCAATTTGAGCCATGCCTTTGAGAACCCTGGACTGCATCGCCCAGGCAAGAACGTGCAGTCCCAACATACCTATATGGGGGTTTCCGAAAATTAGGGGTACCTTATTTGGGGATTCTTATAATAAGGATCCTACTATTTTGGGTACTATATTTGGGTCCCTTAATTTCGGAAACCCCCATTTCAACCAGTTCCTCCCAGGCTCTGAGAAGTCCGGACCCTCGTAGATTGAGTATCAACCCTAAATTAGAATCCGGACCTCTAGAAAAGATGTCCCTTGATTTTCGGCTACTTGGCCAGCATGCAGCGGCAACTGGCTAAAGTAGGAACCTGATGAAGAAACCCTGGGCCTTCAACCCAAAATAGTAGAAACCATTTGAGGAACCCTAATAAAGGCCCAAGGTTTCTTAATCAGGTTTCTACATTATTGGATGTGGACTCGGCTGCTGCGGGGACCACCGGAAACGAAATTAGCAGGGAATGGGGAAATGGGTTGTCCCTATATAATCCTCCAAAGCAGTCTCCATAATCCATGTCCCCCTTCGATAGTGTTAAGAGTGTTTACAAGGGGCTTTCAGGTTTTGGGGCTTAAGGTTTAATGCCTGTGAGCATGAGCTGATGCAGCAGTATTAGCAGGGTTCCCAGCAGGAAGGATTCAATGAAGAGGCTCCAAACCTAGCACAAAGCCGCACAAAACCGTATGGAATCTGATCAGGCCTCATTAGATAACCCCCTACATTCACATAGTAGTATAGCACGTAGATAGATATGTCCCTAAACCCTGTGCGGGGCTAAAGGTCCATGTGGAGCTGACAGAGGAGGAGAAAAAGCCACTCGGGCTGCATACAATCCGTTTTGAATTGCTCTCGGCTTCCTCATGCTGGGTTCGGGGTTAGGGTTCTCGTAAGCATGTGGGTTTTAAGTTACCAGCATATTTGCATTTAGGTCTCAAGCATTCTGACTCTTTAGATTTGAATAGTTCCTTAGCGGCAAGATCCCGGTTTTGCATACCCCTGTTCGGGTATGCACTGTTGGAGACGAGATTTCATCTTGAACGTTCATGGTCTGCCGCGTTGTGCCTGAAATCAACTAGAATGTCATACTAGCGAGGTAATCCTCATCCGCAAAAGGGGAGTCTAAAAAACAGATTGCCAAGGCGTCTTGAACAAGTTCGTCTCCACTGTTCATTGACTTCGACTGCCGGAAAACAAAGGCAACCTAAACCCCATAGTATAAGACCTAACCTGATCCGAATCCCAACGCCAAACCCCCCATGGCCCTACGTTACATCCTGCAATCTGCAAGTCTCTGTCGAAAGGTCGTGAGCTTTGCACCTACTCTGGGGGCCTTCATAGTAACCTATACTGTTTTGGGGGTTCCTTATTAAAAACTATAAAATATGCCCCAAAACCCTACTCTAATTATTAAGGCCTCTACTTTAAAGCCTCGAAAAGCCAACGTCGCGAAATCTGAGGCTCTGGTTTCGCCGCAAGGATGTGCCAGACCTCACATCGAAGGAGACTGGAGTGAGGGGAGAAGATGCCCTTGACAAATAATATATGGGCCTTAATAACTAGGACCTAGAGTAAGAATGGTAGTACTAGTAGTTGTAAATATACCCCATTCCTCCATTCCCTACTAACCCAAGGTAAGGCTTGTATGATAGGGGCCTAAATAACTACCCTGTGCCATTTTGCGGTTCCTTATTGTAAGTATAGTATAACCCTATTCTAATTATCTAGGGCCTAGAGTAAGCCCTTATTCCCTTTTTGTAGAGTTCAGGTTCCCTTATAAGCCCTTTTTAGCCAAAAAGGGCACCCTTGTTATTCCTAGGTTACTCTTAGGTCTAGTAGAGGCCTTAATGATTACCTATATGGTTTTGGTGGTTCTTTATTATAAATTAAAATAGTACCATGGACCCCGAAACACTATTCTCATTATTAAGGCCCCTACTCTATACGAGTTGCTTCAATAGAGATGGAACCCCTACCGTAAGAACCAAATAAGATCTTCCGCATAATCACCCCTAACCTGGTAGCCCTCAGCTTTAGAAGCCCCATATCTCAGGAGTAAGGTGCTAGGAGATGTAATCTGGAGGGCTTGAATACATGGCTCTTCGCAAGATAACGTACCAGAATTTTTCAGGCTTCGATATGGGAGTTTCCCCAAATAAGGGACCCTAATATAGTACCCTAAATCGTAGGATCCTTACCATAAGGACCCCGAAACAAGGTACCCCTAATTCTCGGAAACTCCGATATTATTCTATGGACCAGCGTTTTAAACGAACCGGTCGGGGCTGCCCTCTCGTCGGTTGATGTGGTGCAGTGGATGTTGATGAGGTTTGAGGGCTAATCCAGAGCCCTGATGCCCAGAGCCCCCAAAACCCCTTAATTAAGGAATATACCTTAAATTAAAATAGGATCCCTAATATGATTTCAAGGTATATTCCTTAATTAAGGGGTTTTGGAGGCTCTGGATGCCATACTTGGAGGGTCGGGGGGCTTAGCAACTCATTAGTTTAGGCACTTATAAGTACCATAACCCCAATTAGGGTCCCTTTTGGGGTACTTATAAGTCTACTTACTAACTACTTACTAAGTCCCCCGACCCCCCAAGTAGCCACTTCATGGGAGCTTCCGAAAATTAGGGGTGCGCGATTTTGGGTCCTTATAATAAGGATACTACTATTTAGAGTACTCTCATCGCTCTACAACCCGATAACCCAGTAACCCTAAATCCTAAAAGCTTGTGACCTTAAACCCAGTACAACCCAACACCCCCAGAAAGCTGAACTCTGTAAACTTATGACCTGTAGAAAGCCCTGTACAGCCCGATAACCTCATACCCCCAAAATAAACCGATAAACTTACAGCAGAAGCCCAAAAGTTGGAAACCCAATAGCCTCAATCCTTAAGAGTAATGTGAAGGGAATCCCAGCTCCATTTGGCCAATCTTGTTTCCAACTTTATGGGGTTTACTGTACAATTAGAACAAGGAATGCTAACAGATAGAAAAGAGCAACCCTAAAACATAAACCCTACACCTTAAACCCTAAACCCTACACATAGAGGTAAACTTATCACCCGAACGCCCTGGCAAAAGCCTATCCTAGGACCCAGAGTAGGCCCTTATTCCCTTTCTTGGGGCTCAGGTTCCCTTATAAGCTCCTTTAAAGCAAAAAGGGCACCCTTTTTAATCCTGGGTTACTTTTGGGTCTAGATCAGGATATGTCTTCGTCCTACGAGAAGTTCACACTCCCATCTTCGGAGGAAGGCCGGGAATGTCGCATTGACTCCGACCGAACTCCTTTGTCCTGCTATCATAGCTAGGACCCAGAGTAGGCCCTTACTCCCTTTTTTTGGGGTTCAGGTTCCCTTACAAGCCCCTTTCAAGCAAAAAGGGCACCCTGTTTATTCCTGGGTTACTCTTGGGTCTAGCCTTTGTCCTGCTATCATAGGGACCCTTGGGGGGGTAGGGGTACTTAAAGGGTCATGGGACTTAGTAAGTAGGGTTATAAGTCAGGTAACTACAGTTATAATTACTTATAACCCCGATTACAGTACTTATAACCCTACTTACTAAGTCCCATGATCCCCCAAGTAGGGTAGGGGGCCTTAATGCCCCTAATAAGGGCCTAATGAGGCTTATTTAAAGAAATATAGTCCCCCAAGCCCCTCCCCCCTACACCCCTTAAGGGTCCCTGCGATGCTAGGTTCTGCTACGAAGGGGAGTTTCAGCACGTTTCAGCATTTTGCAGCCGAAAGCCAAGTGGGAGGATGCTGCGTCTAAGTAGGGGCTACCAGAGCCCCATGAAGTGGGAGTTTCCGAAAATTAGGGGTACCTTATCTTGGGGTCCTTCTGATAAGGATCCTACTATGTTTTTCTTTCATGAGGCTCTGTGTCCATAACGAACGCGCCTATTGCACATAAATTCAACTAGCAAAAGCAGTGAAACAGAGGGTGAGGGCCGGAACATCGTTCCTCGGCATCGCGGCTTCCAGCCACTGAGCCAGCTCCCCTTGAATGTCCGTTTGGCTGTGGAAGCATAGCCGACACTTCCGTCCCTTCGCAGCGCATGGAAGCCCAATGTCCAGCCAAGCAAGACAGCATTGCAGCCAACGCAGATGTTGTCGCTGCGCCCGGAGGGACGAAGAGACCGCGTTCCAAAGACAAGAACACTTGACAGGGGAAGGAGGAAAAACGATGATGACTGCGGCCCAGTCCAGGCCTAACGGTGGTCGGTGTGACAAGGGGTAGCATCTCCAGCCGCCCCCAGGGTAAACATCGAGGCTCGCCGCCTCCAGCAGACCCTTACCTCCCACGATAAGCCCTGGTAGACCCGCCGGTCGTGGCATAAATCCCATGGGAAGGAGACACGGTCGGAAAGCGGCCGCGTCGTCAGTGGCAACTTGACCCACATGGACTGCATCACACACGAGGTCGGCCTGGAAACAAAGCAAAACGTCCTCGGCCATTTGCCGTGCAGGGCCCGGCTCCAGGCCGTCAATCCAGACACGGAGGGTGTGCCGGAGCTCGGCAAATGGCTCTACAAAGGTGCTGACTAAGTCCATAATGCTCTCATCTTCAACGAAGACCCCGCAACGAAGAGCATCCAGAAGTGGAAAACAGAGCTCAGCAGCAGCCTCTGGAAGATGCCCTTGACCCCTCCCGGTGACAGCCCTCCCTTGGACATGGGACGGTTTGGCATCGAAGACAGGAAGGAGATCAGAGTCCTTTCGCTCAATCGACTGCCGACAACGCACAGAACTCGCGAGGTGATTCCGGAGCCGTGAGGTGTTGGCGTAGATGGACCCGCATGCCTGGCAACGCCGGCCACAAGCTAGGCGGTGCGCTTTGATCCGAAACCCATGTTGCAGCGCCGCATGCGACGCCCAGGAGTGGGAGGAAGGGAAACGCTTCCGACACAGCAAACATGCATGCTCCGACGAAGGGTCACACACTGGGGCTGAGACCTCCGGTTGCCAATGTCGACGGGCAAACTGCTGAAAGAGTGCGTAGCCAAGCCTGTGTTGCACATGCCAAGAGCCTGCCCGTTTGAGTAGACCCTTCCAGCGCCTGGCGCTACCACCTATGAGCGAAACCCATCCGTCCCATGACTCATCGAGACAACCAAGGTCGCAAGTGGCAGAGAGCGCAGCATGTAGCCACCTTCCCGCAGCGAGGAAGGCTTCAATGCCGGCTCGGTGGTGTTGAAGGAGCGCCCATGCGGCGTCAGGGCCATGCCTCAGGAGTTGACCCAAAAAGCGTAACCGCTCGAGGTGGAGGAGGTCTTGGGGAGTCGGCAACGAGCAGGCGGCAAATATATCTTCACGCGACCAGTTTTGCGCCTGATCATGCGGGATACGGACCAATTGCCGGCACATGCTGGTCAGACCATGGTTGAAGGAGTTCCAGGCCTGCTGGGACAGCACAGGCCACGCGCCACTACCCGCCAGAAGCGCAGACAGCACATGGGCCCGGAAGAGCTGCACCCTTCGTTCAAGCTGGATGTGAGGGCAGGTGAAGATCTTCTTGCGTCCCTCGCTGAAAGAGGAACGGGCGACCCCCAGCCTAGACTTAACCTCCTCGGCCATGGAGCCCGAATGGGTAAGGGTAGATCCTAAATGGCGATAGCATGGAACGGCGTCCATGTGCACAGCACCAGCCCCTTCGCGCAACACTTGCAGTTTGCCTTTCCCCCGCGTGAAGATTTGCTCACGCGCCGTCTTGGCGCCCGAGCCGCGGGGAAGCAAAATGGCCGCTGTTTTGCGTGGCCCAAGGTTGGGCGTAAGGCCGTGCGACATGACTGCATCGAAAGTCAGTCCCGTGATATGCCGAACTGCCGGGGCAAGGGCTGCAGCACTCGGCGAGACCACGCACGTTGCATGGTCATCGGCAAAGATAATATCTTGAACCGTGGCTGTAGGCATGTCCTCCTGTGGACGACCCTCTACAAGACACAGCTCACGACGGCCCGTCCACGGAATTCGAGGCACATTTTGATCTGGGTAAGGTGCCCGGCGGGACAAAACCTTGGCGAACAGCAGTGCAAAAACCACATCGGCTTGGATGCCAGTCCGGGGCTAACCGGGTCCTTTCCGTTATGGAACCGGGTCCTAGGATTTATGTTGCTGACATGAGTGACATGTAAGAACACGTGTATATAGGACATGTGTTGCTGACATGATGGACATGTAAGAACACGTGTATATAGGACACGTGTTGCTGACATGATGGACATGCAAGAACACGTGTGATGGACATGTAAGAACACGTGTATATAGGACACTTGTTGCTGACATGATGGACATGTCAGAACACGTGTATATAGGACACGTAAAGCAACATGTCTGATGTCGTGCTGAAGGGGGGGGGGCAGGACGGAAAACAAATGCAACTACTGCAGCAACATTGGGCCTACGTCATGTGTGTTCTTGTGGCTCTATGGAAAGAGCGAGATGCTGGACATGTATAAAAAGATGTGTGCTTGTGGCTCAATAGAAAAATCAATGCCTGAAAAACTTGGTTTGTTCGAAATGTGAAAACATGTACA